ACAGATATGTTCAGGGTGTTAAATATTAAAGGCTGTAACATAAACGGCTGAGAGTTGTAATTGAGGAAACCGCTAAAAGGTCAAGTTCGGACTACGAGGGGCACGGTGCTCATGCCGTTGACCATGTTGTGGAGCTAGCACTTCTTAAATGTTGACTTGGAGAGGTCAAGTTCAATGTAAACTCAAAGGATGACATAAGTGTCAGAGTGTGATCAAAGCAGGCCCCTGTGTAGATCTGGGAGGACACAGGTGTATATGATGGGATGTCTATTCTAGAGGGGATGTTTACAGGGATTATTTCTGGCTAGTGCACATCTGCCATGTTCTTACCCGCTCTGTGTTTTTAGAAGCACAATCCGGCTTTACTGAAAGCACATTTTGCAATTGGCTTCGGTCATAAGACCTAAAACTCATTTTAGTTCTTTAAAAATAAAGCTTTCACATTTTGATGGATTATATTAGGTTCAGTTTATTTTATATAACCACATGTATTTCAGATTGAACGGTGTTTCACTTCACTCTGCACCTTTTCCGGCACAAGTTTGTCATATAAGTTTATAATTGGGTTTCTTGTTTTACGTTTGCTCTCTTAAAATACGATATAACATTTTGGGAAACAAGCTTATTCACTCTCAGGCTGAGAATTAGAAGTGAAGCTTGATACCACTCTAACTCCCAAGTTGTCAAATACCGACGCTTGGTAAGCGGCCCCGAGCTTCAACTGTGCCGCTCTTTCAGTTTCCACTTGTTACATGCATAATGTCTTTGTATAATAAACTTCCGTCTTCACAGGAAGTTAGGTTTAGGAAAAGAGCATGACTGACGTTAACTTGACTGACTAACGACTCACGTCACTATCCAATGACTAGGATGACCTGTGTTTATTTGACACACCTGCTCCCACCTGCTCTGTGTGAATACAAGGCTACAGCCAGCTGGTGGTTAGCTTAGCACAAAACCTGGAAACCGAGGAAAGAGTTGGCATGGCTTGAGTACAAAATCCACCTACCAACACTTATACAAATCACAATTTAACATGTGATATTTTGTTAATTTAATCTGTACAAAATACAGAATAAAAATTACAATTTGACTTTTTTCGCAGTTGACTGGGAGCAGCAATTACGTCACCGCTACATCTTGTAAATGGTGTTAACTCACGCTGCACGTTCTAATCTGCCTTTATGCATGGCTAGAACCTGCAACTGTTATGCTCACAATGTCCGGCCACAACGTGCAGCTCACGCTGAACCTAAATTGAATGATTTTGTTCAGTAACAATTCCAATAAAGTTTCTTCAAAGATGACAACAAAAAATACTTTATAATTTGCATGTTCCGCAGCCAAGTGAAATTTTGCATCACAGCAGTCTCAGTCAAGACTGCAGCTTGAGCCACAACATGTAAAAATACACACTCCAATACCACAGCATGCTTACTTCTGCTTGTAACCTCCGGTTCTGCCGAGTGTAGCCGATGCGGCAGTGTTCTCTACTACCGACCAGCAGAGGGCGACTCTTCTGGCTGCTAAAAGAGATCAGATTGTATAGAAGTCTATGAGAAAATGACTCTACTTCTCACTTGATTTATTACCTCAGTAAACATTGTAAACATGAGTTTATGGTCTCAATCTCTAGATTCAAGTCTTCTTCGATACAGCATGATGTTCATTGAGTAAATGATGGTCCAGTTAGAGTCAAATAGACCATGAAGCAGGGTATGCTTTAGGGCAGGCTTACTGTGATTGGCAGGTCGTTGGCACTACCAGAGCCGTATACGGCGTCTCTAAGTCACTCCTCCCCATTCCAAATATGGTAACTTCTGTTCATTGGTTGCAAAAAAAACAACATGGCGAAGGCCATAACCCAAGATGGCGATGGCGAATTCGTCGAACTCGAGGCTTCGATACAGCAGTTCACAAACCACTGGGTGACATCACGATGACTACGTCCACTTCTTATATACAGTCTGTGTTTGCAACAAATCTTTTGACCTCAGACTGCTCAAACTGCAAGACAGATATGTCAGCGAGATTGTTGTTCATTCAGGATATTAATCAGGTGTCTTGACCTCCCTCAAACTGCATTTATGACAAAGGAACTGGCAGAAATTTGGCCAGATTCTTAAGTAGTCTGGGGTGACCGATCCAGGGTTTAAATTGGGCTTAATTGATACACTTTCCGCCTGGCTTAAAGCGCTGGAAATGTCAAACTACTCTTTTAAGATATGTTCAGATGGAGACGGCAAGATAAGTCAATGCGGACACACGGTGGACGCAAGCAGATGCAAATTCACACTCAGCAGCACAAATGAAAGGCTAAGTCAGGCCACAGTTAGTTGAAAATGTTTCAACTTGAGTCAAAAAATATGAATGTATGACTCTTGACTCTACTTCTTGAACATACAGCCACTAAAGAGGTTAAAAATGGAAGAAAAATGATAATGGAGTTCCTGGTAACAAGGAATAGTTTAGCTAATATGCCTACAAAAATACGTTTAGCATTTAAGAATAAAAATGTATGCTTCACTAACAAGGACGATGGTGTAAATGCATGAATGGAGATATCCTCGTCAGACTGAATTCAAAGGCACAGCATTAAATCTGCATTTATATTCTTGAAGCCTCTTCAAGGCAGCCGCCATAAATAGACTGAAGTGCATCGCACCCACACATCATAATCATATGTACAAACAGCATATCAGCATTTACATTTTACATTGAAGGGTATACACAATATTCCACACATACATGCACAATTTCAGTACTTGTGAGGACCGCCATTAGGTGCCTTTATAGCTCTTAACCCTTCGGCTCTACACATCACCTGAGAATATGTACTAACTCACTCCAATTAACCTGAACCCATGTCGTGACCCTGAAATAACCCCTTGGAGAAGTGAGGACGGGCTAGATCCTCTACCTAAAGATTTCAAATTCAAATTGTCCCTGACGAACACAGAGTCACAGGGTATGAGCGCACACACACACACACACACACACACACACAAAGTGATTTCCCCCGTCGTCTGATCTGGTTCATGTCTTCCTGGAGTGGAACCAGAGATAATAGAGGAAGAGAGCAAAATCGATTCTCGACGCTCCAGTTTCTTGCAGTTTCCTCCCACACCGACCTCACGCACACCTGTCAGAGCTGAGGCCGTTTTTCCAAAAAAGCTGTAGTGCACGTGAAACAAACGTGGCTTCGTGAAAATCAGCCAGCGACTATTTCAAAAGTGCGTCCGTCCTTTTGGTATCGAGTATACTGAAGTGATTTTCAAACTTGGTCTATTCAGCTACTTTCTAGGAGAAAAACCTGGATTTTTTTAGGTTTTGTAATACAAACTGTAAAATTATAGTTATAGATGTTTATGTTTGTCAGCAAGCAAGACATTAAGAATGCACATTTGATTTGGTGATTGGAAGCATAGTGTCCACCCTCTAGTTCCCCCTCTGGTCAACACTGTTCGCTATGTCATCACTGTTAGCACCGTTAGCACCGTTAGCACTTAGCTGCCGGCTCAGCTTGCCACGTTCAGAGCTATGTGGAGGCACTACAAGTGCTCTGAGTTTCGAATTTAACTTAAAAGCACCCTGTGGAGTTTTCTTGGTTTGTTTCAATTCAGTGTTACTCCCCAAAACGCATTAAGTGTACACATGAGACCGAAAAACGTGCTGAATGCATTTGCTAAACGTTTTTAAAGCTGTATTTGCAAACTCGCAGTCTTCTTCACAGCCCTATCACCGCAGCATGTTACGAGCTAAACAGGGATTTAACTCATGAAACCACTAGTCCATAGCACAAGTGGTCAGAAAACCCACCTTTAAGCTCCCATCTGACACTACAAATCAGTCACTGCCAGTAAGATGTAAGACTTTTCAGGAGATGATTTTTTTTCACTAAAAAAGCTGCACGCCAATGAGCTGGTTGAAAATGGTCTTATTAAAAGACACACAATATTTGGCGTCAGTCATTTCAGTTTAAAACAGAAAACATTGACCTTCAAAGTAAAAACTTCTTCATGTGTTTTTGAACTTCATCAACTTTGGATCTTTTTGTAGGTGTCTGTAGAGAGAAATGGAGAGAATAGAAAGAAGTTGCATTGATGACATTGCATACTTTTAATTTAACTGGAAATTTATTTCCCCCACTCATGTTTACTGCCATTACATCTATCTTACATTTACCATCTTACTCAATGTGTAAATGTGTTAATCCTTTGTATTACTGTTGTATTAAAATCCAGCAAAGTCATTTCATCGAGGCTGGTTTGAAAATGAAGCTGGCTTTCTTCATTTTTCAGATGCTACATGATTTTTGGGCCCTCAGAAGCATCATACAATAAAACACACACAAATGCATCTGCAACAATAAGAATGCAAAGGTAGCAAAGGGAGGAGAGGCTCTGCGATCCATTCACTTTTGGCTCGATTCACCCCCATCAGCTCCAGGATAAATTCCTTGCCGTGCTACAAAGCTTACATTTAGCAGAGTAACAGAGTGCAGAAAGAGGCCATGAAGCCAAGAGGAATGAAGAGGCTTATCTGTCTAATCCATTTAGTCCCTCAACACCCTGTACATCACAACATATACAGCAGTTAACAGCCGCAACACAGAGCGGCATGAAAGACACTTGTTCCTCGTGCAGTGCACTCACACACCCACTCGTACCTTTCCTGTTCAAACAGTGGTGGAAAAGAGGGGGAGAGGAAGAGGAGCCGGATGGAGAGGTGAATGGGAAACTGACAGGAAGGAGCGAGGGGGGATTGTGGGAATAGAGAAGAAGGAGGTGAGGAAAGGAGGCTCGATAGAGTCAAGTGTCGAAACGTGTAGCTCTAGGAGAAAGCTTGCGGTGTTCCGCCATCTTGTGGATAATGTAAATTATTACAGTTTATATTTCAAATAAAAGTGAGGGACAGAATCCTCCTTCCTATTGGAGGCATGTAAAGAGGGAAGTTATGAGCGAGAGGAAAGTACATTATGTGAATTATGGCATGCAAACTTGGTCAATTTGATTTGTGAAGGACAAAAACGCAGATTACATAACTTCAATAGTCTGATATCATTACAGAGACATTTTATTTCCAAATTCATTGATTGAAAAAAGTAACAGTCACAAAAGTCTTTAGTACAAAATCAAGGAATTTCATATTTTTCCAACACGTTTTTATGAAAGCTTTCTAACTGCTGATGTTTGTTGTAGCTTTCATCTCCAACTGGGAAATGATCCTATAAAATATAACCATAATCTGTGATGGTCAATACATCCCATAATTCATTTGTGGGTTTTTGTTTTACCTTGTCTGTTAACCCGCCCCAATCTTTGTTTGTCAGGACTCATTTCGACAAAAATATTGTTGCTTTCGGGCAACATTTGGCTTGTATGAGTGTTTACTTTGCTTGAAAATATGCTCTGGCAGAACAGTTTAAGACATAATAAGATCACACAGAGATTTTACAAGCCAGTGATCTTGTACAGAATTATTTTAACGTTGCACTGTCTTCATGTATTTCAAATATTCAAAATCATTGGTTGTAGACAAATAAAAAACAAATATGAGTTCCACCATCTTATAAGAAGAGACTACAGCACTGACCAGCATGTGCTAGGCTTCACCAACAGACCAGGATTTAGAGAGCCTTTAACAACAGTCTCCTACAGCAGCTATAAATTAGCATGATGAAATTGGACTTTTAATACATCATTTACATTTTGAATACTAAACATTTTTCTTCAATACTCAATCTACCAGACAGTGTAGCACTACCTCAGTGAGAATCCAATAAACAGTGTGACACGTACTGTGTTTTAAAATGAAAACAATGCGAAGGAAATGTGAGAGAAATGCTTTTCCTCAGCAGGAAATGACAACTAGAAACAGGAAGTAGTTTGAGTTTATAAAAGGATGAAAATAGCCGTGTAGAGATCCGATTCCTTACTCTGGTTTTGGTTGTTATTCTCAAAAGGCTTCTTATTATAGTGAACCTTTCCGTCTGAAATAACGCTGTGAGCGGGCAAAGACTTATGCAATGATTGTCATAGAGAAAGAACTCTCTGTAAATGTCATTGAGTTTGGTGTGAATGTTTGACTTGGTCTAAGCAGAGCAATGAAAACAGTCACTCTTGCAGAATTATTAGAATTACACTCAATTTAGCATGTATGCATCCTGTCTGCATACACTCAGCGTCACGGGTTCAAATCGGCTTGGCTTGATATGCCTGGAGGAAATCTTAACCTTTGCTTGTTAACACAGAGTCCTAAGTGGACCGTTTCTCCACACCTTGCTTGATCCCCAGCACCAGGTGAACAAACCAGTTGATCTGCACCATCCAGCCCTTTTCCCTGCAGATCTCTATCTGGTCCAGTAGGTGGCGCTGCGCCTCGTCCTCGCTGCGGCCGACGGTCAGCGCCTCGCGGATGTACTCGATGTCCTCCATGCTGGTCAGCTGGGGCATGCCTGTTTAAAATAAATACAATGAATAAGAGTCTCATCTTTTCAGGCACAAGTACGAGCATTTACCAGCAGCTCTGGTTATAGTTGTTCTGTCTTCTTTTAAATGAGTGACGGACAAAAACTAAAACTGGATGACTTAGTCAGCGAGTTTAAATACAAATCTTAACTGGGAGAGATTAATAATGGTAACAGAGTGGTGTTGTTCTGCTATGAAAAGGGCACAGAATCTTTGGGTGTTATAAGGAAGGAAGTCGTACCGGTCATCAGCATCATGGAGAAGAGGATGATGAGCAGGTTGGTGTGGTGCCGAAGGGCGAGGTAAGCCTTCACACACACGTCCTGAGACAGAGATAGAGGACGTTTAAATGCGTGCATGTTGTACACACGGACAAATGCATGCAGGAGATTGGACACCTCTGACGTTCTTGGGGTATTCACATGAAAACAAAACAAAAGAAATCCCTTTTGCTGCACCTGGAACTTCTGGAAGTGGGGGCTGCTTTTCTTTCCTGACGTTCCCATGACGTACAGGAAGTCTGGCGTGAGCACGAAGGGAACCCACTCCTTACTGATCCCCATGAAGCTCTTGTAATTCCCCAGGATGTGACCAAAGTCGATGTGGAAGAGATTCCCTGCAGGAACACAAAGGGGATTCGTTTTCAGTGCATTTATTTAGTTTGCAACACTGGGCTGGCTTTTTTTCTGGTTGGATAATTCTTAAACTTGAGAATATTTTTGCTGGTTTCTCGGATGTTACCGACCCCGACCTTTAACAAGATTTTTCAAAGTTTTACAAATGTTTACAGACAAAGGTTTGAATGAAATATACATTCTCACAATGATTTGAATATGGTTCTGATTTTCAGTTGTTATTGTGGATGTACTGCAAGTATTTGTGTGCATGTATGGGTCATATTTTCACTTATGAATACCTCTGACCAGAGAAATGTGCAGGTATAAATAAAATAAAATAAAATAAAATAAAATAAAATGAAATGAAATGAAATGAAATGAAATAAATGAAAAAATAAACACGTTTATATTTTTGAGTTTGTCCTAATGTCAGATGAAAGTACAGACATATGATGTCATTACCAGATTCAGTGATCATGATGTTGTCATTGTGGCGATCCCCAATACCCAGAACGTAGGTGGCCACGCAGTAGCCACCACAGGAATACAGGAACCTCTCCACAGCCTGCTGGAACTACAAAGAGAGAGAGAGAGAATGCCATCATACATCTCGGGCAATAACTGGGCCAGGGACCTAGAGGTTTGGTTGGTGGGCTTCAGGGAGGAAGGTTTCTGCTTTGAAATGTCACATTCAATAAGAATAGAATAGAATGCGGTCTGGTGGCGTGAACTCGACGACGCTCAGCTGTGCCAACGTCTGAAAATGTCTTCTTCCGTTAAATCTTCCACTGTACATGTGATGTAAATACTGTGTTAATGCATACTAGACAATAACCATCCTGCAGCGCAGTGTGGAGTCACCTTCCTTTATAATGAAAGCTAACAGATGAAACGTTGCAAAATAGATTCTCAAAAACAGAGCAGGGACATTTAGACACTTGGGGGTTGCAGGTCTCAAAGCAAAAATGTATTGTGTGAGTGTGTGAGTGTGTGTGTGTGTGTTGCGTTGACAGGAAAACCCCTTGTTGGTTGCTTCCTTCCTGTCTGTTGCACTGCCACTTCCTCTGACAGAGCAGCACCTGGATGCGTTTGGAGACTGGGTTTCTGTTTCTGATCAAAGTAAAGCTTGTTGTGGTATGCACCTTGTCCTCGCTGACACACTTGTCCCGCAGCCACTGGCATAGGATTTCATCTTTAAACGCCCCGGTGCTTCCCACGACACTCTGCTGGATGTTAGCGATGGTGGTGGCATCCTTCACGATCTCAATCATGCCTGCAATAAAGACAGATGGAAGGGAGTCTCAGACTGGCTGTAATAATCAACTCATTTGTTGTCCACTGAATATCTGACCTATTCTGTTTCCAGTGGAGATGCAGCCGTACGGCAGCAGACACAGATCCAGTGTTTCGGTCTCCCAGATGGACTCCATGATCAGCAGGATCTGAAGGGACACAAGAGAGAAGCTGAGTCTTTTCTTTTCTGATTTTCTTCTATGACACGCTGCGCTACAGAGGCCGCGCCACCGCTCTCACCTGCAGGATGAGCATGTCCTGTCGGAGGTCATCGCCGTCTTTGAAGATGATGCCGATGGGGTCTCTGGACAGAGTGGTGGGGTCGGCCCTTTTGAACTGCAGCCACAGCGGCTTCTTCTTGGATGCCATCACTTTGCACTGCTCGATCTGCATGTTCACAAGCAGTGCTTATGCTGCAGGTATTCACGTGTATTTGTTGCACTTGCAAAACTAGTTTCATATGTTGTTTTTTTATTGGTGTTCTTCTTGCAAACATCTTGGTTTTAGTTTGTATGGTTCTCTCTGTGTGTGTGTGTGTGTGTGTGTGTCTCTTACCATCAGGGCTCCAGCTCTCAGTCCAGGATCGTAAGGGACCCTGAAACTCTCCGGCAGACCGGACAACTGCAGAGTCTCCAGCCTCTGACGCAACTGGAACACCACTGACAAGCACACAACACACATGGCTTTAGCATCACAATTGTACTTAAGTACAGTACTTGATTAAATGTACTTAGTCACTCATTAATACCATGCTGTACTTGGTAACACCAGTGCTACCAGTGGAAAGGTTAGTCTGGAGCCCGGCCTCACCTTGTGGAGTGATGTCGTACTTGTCGGCGGACATGGCCTTCATCTCACGGGTGACTTTCTGCAGAGCCTCCGTCAACTCCACCTGTGGAGCGTCACTTCATCATGTCAGTAACTCAAAGAGCTGAACCGTGTTGTCCTTTCCGATCTACGCGACACCGTTTAAGGAGCCGTGTATTCATGGACTCACCTGCTTCCTGAAGTCCTGCAGCATGTCTTCACCACAGCCTCTGAGGTAGGCCTCCAGCAGGACAGCGTACCTCTGCTGGTAATGCATGGACTGGGCGATCTCACTGCGCAGGAACCAGAAGAGAAAATGACCAATACGCTTACTCTGCGGAGAGAAAAGCACAAAGAAAAGAGGCAAGACTCAGCTGTAAGTAGCATCAGGTGGAAAACAGAGACAATAACGCTACATGATTATTATTACATAAGTCTGTACAAATGTTAAAATTGCAATGTTGATGCTAAAAAACTGAATAATAAAATATTTGACAAAACCTTTCCATCGTTGGGAAAAAGACACAAACACACACATACAGACAGATGAATGGGCAGAGAGATAGTAACCACAGGAACACACACACACACACACACACACACACACACACACACACACACACACACACAAACATACATACACTGTAAGTGTGAGAAACAGACACAGATGTTGGTCCTGCTTACCCTCAGAGCTCTCTTCAGCAGGAACCTGACCAGGGCGCTGTCGTGGTACGGCTCAAACTTGACCGCCTGCAGGACACACACACACACACACACACACACACACACACACACACACACACACACACACACACACACACACAAACATTTCTAATGAATGCATCTAAAATGGCTTTTCAGGTTTCAGTGAACACACATGCAAACACTTTTTTAAATACACATACACTTGCAAACACACAGTAAGTTATTACTGATGTCATGTAAATCAAGGTAGCCCCACCCTGAAGCCTAGCCTGCTTTATGGTCTATTTGACTCTAAATGGACCATAATCTACTAAATGAACATCATGCTGTATTGAAGAAGACGTGAAACTAGAGATTGAGACCATAAACTCATGTTTACAATGTTTACTGAGGTAATAAATCAAGTGAGAAGTAGAGTCATTTTCTCATAGACTTCTATACAATCACACTTCTATACAACCAGAGGAGTCGCCCCCTGCTGGTCAGTAGAGAGAATGCAAGTTTAAGACGCTTCCGCATCGGCTTCACTCGGCAGAACCGGAGGTTGCCGCCTGGTTTTTACGTTACCTGAAGGCCATCGTAGTTCTCCGACACGCTTGGAAGGGAAAGGGTATTCAGTTGGTTGCAATCTGCAACCTCGCCGCTAGAGGCCACTAAATCCTACACACTGCTCCTTTAACAGATCGTGTTGATTGAGTGCGATGAGGCACAAAGTGGACGGTAGCAGTAAAAGGAAGTGCAGTGAAAACACGGAGCTCATTGTGCTCACACACAGGACGGCTATTCAAATGTTGACTGAAGGAAGCAGGGAGCGGATCAAAACTTCAGAGGTGTAGACCGACAGATAGTAGGGTCAGGTTTGTGGGGGCAGTGTGTGCGAATACATTTTGGAAAGACACCCTCCACTTATCACTAAAGCTCATGATACAGACAGAACACTGTGATGGTGAGAGTCATTTTCCTATCAGACCAAAAGGCCCTTTGTAGGCCTCAGCTCATAATTCATATGCAAACCTGACCACAGAGTCACTTTTGGAAACATGTCAGGAGACAAACATGCAGCGTGTATCCGCTGAGCTGCCTCTCCCCACCAGCTTGTAATACTGTGAATCAGGTGGAACAGGAAGAGGCACTTCGTCGGCGTGGAATAAGAAGAAGAAGAAACAGAACGGACTCACCTGGACAAGCTGCAGGAGGTATCTGAGCACATCGTCGTCCTCCAGAGTCTCCAGCTTCCTGACGGCCATGGAGCGAACCTGAGCGTCCGAGTAGTGGCAGTCCAGCAGCTGCATGGCCAGACCAACGTCCAGGCCGCTGAAGAGCACAAGGACAAGTGATCGGACACTGAAGCTGCTGAGGGCAAGATGCGTATTGTGGCGGCGTGAAGGCACGTTTACCTGCTGTCCCACGCGCTGCTGCGCTCCAACAGCCGGTGTGTCGCCAAAACGTCTTCCTGTCTCCCCCACCTGACTGAACCCAGGAGCTTTGGGTAGGCCCTGAAGATGATATCAAATTTATAGCAACAATGATCTAACATTTAGTAGCCCGTTTTTGTTGGAATAAAACAAAGAAAGTACCTGGGGTTGCGCATACACTCGTGCCTGAAGTGCCACAGCAGCTCCTTGTCCTCGGGGCTGAGCGGATGCAGGGGGTCGGTAGCCACGATGGCCGCAAACTGCTTCTTCAGGTGGTTGGGCATCTCCCTCTGACCGCGCTCGCCCCCCTCGGCCTCCTCGCCCCCGGCGCCACGGCCCGTGACATCGCGGCTCTTGGGCAGCACCACCGGGTAGCAGTACTTGTCCAGCAGGATGGCGACGGCCATGGCGGAGGCCTTGTCCGGGTTGGTGGCGGAGGTGAGCTTGTCCGCGTTGATGCTGCTGCTGCTCTCCTCGTTCTTCTCTGGCATTTTCCACATGTGGAGGATGAACTCGCCCTGGCGCAGCAGGGAGCGGTGGTCGATCAGCAGCAGGTTGACGTAGTACAGGAGGCGGCTCTTGGTCTTCCCTGAAAGACGGACGGACAGACGGATGCAAGACTCGCTCGGATTCAGAATGATACAGGAGGCAAACCAAATGTTAGAAGACCTTACCGTCATGGCTGCCAGTTCCTGCTGTATTATCCTGGTAGGCGGAGGCTCCCTTGGAGTTTGGCGTCAGGGGCTGCTTCCCACAAACCACCTGGGTGGGAAACATTACAGGACTGCGAATAGGCAGGAATGTGACGATACGATACGTATCACGATACAGGGGCTACGATTCAATATGTTACGATATATCGCAATACCGTATGCAATACGGACGGATAGACAACCCAAAAACATGTCTTCGGCCAAAAGAATTATATGAAAACCGATAAAATGTTTTTAAGAATGGATACAGTATCACAAAACATAATATCACGATACTCAATATTGTGTTACGCCCCTAAAAAAAAAAAAGCCCAGAAGAGCTGTAAGAGTTAGTAACGGAGTAAAAAGAAAAACAACTCAAACTAAGCTCTTTCATTCATCTCCACTAAATCATTGCATGAAGAAATTATTTTCCGGCCACAACGTATATATTTGGAAATTGATAAATGATTGTTGAAACAACCAATAAAGCTGTAAAGTTATCCCACCTGCCCTCCGAATTAAATGTTTACCTGGAGGTTGAGACGCGCTCCTTTGGGCAGGTCCTTGATCTTAATGTTAAACTCCAACCAGCAGTTCCACAGCACTTCTTCACTGAAGGTTTTAGAGGACGTCCTCTCCTGAGACAGTAAAGGCCGGGTTAAACTCTGCTGGCTCTGCCTCAAAACGTACTTACTCTCTCTTGTGTTTGTTGTCATATATTGGAGAGAAGGCAGAGATCTCTGTGACCATTATCTCCAAAACTCCAATAAAATGAAACCAAAAGTAAATATAGCTCATCAGATTATTTTGTTCTTTTTCTGCGTGCTTGAAAGTTTCCATCACCTGGGCTAAAAGCTGTTGGCCATGGAAGATGCTGGCTTCTATGAAGACAATGAACTCTGGGATTTTGGGGAGGGATGGGATGTCGATACCCAGCACCTTCACTCTGAACTTCCTGTTACAGTCCCACATAGAGATGGTGAACACCCGCTCATGGTCCTTCTCGTCGATGGTCAACTGCTCATGGGTACCTGACAAAGACAAGTTAGCAGGATAATTGCTACCTCTGTACCAGGTTGGCCATACCTCAATAAGTTACATCATCAAATACACAAACAACACAGCACATATTTTTTTGACTGACTACCTGCGACTCCGGTGCAGTCATCCACTTGTGCCCAGTCCTCCTTCTGGACCAGATCCAGGTCTGTGTCAGGGAGCGTCTCCAGAACCAGGTGGATTTCGTCCCCGTTCTTCAGACACTGACGGATCCAGTTGAAGGCCTGAAGCGGTTTATCCCCGTACAGGTACTCCTCCCTGTGCGAACATGTAAAACACCCCATATTAATTATGAACCAACTCTATGTATGAGTGGTTATGGTGCGTTTTAGCCTCTCGCATACCTTCCACACACACGTAGCACGAAGTCGGCCTCACACATGTTGTCAGGAATGCCCAGCAAAACTCTCTTATTTGACAACTTGGCGAAAAAGCTCACCAACACCTAAACAAGACGGGTGTTGTCAGGAATGTGTAACAGTGACACTGAAGGGAAGTGAATGGCGCTCACCACCGCACTCGTCTACCTGCGTCGGCGTGTCGTCGATGGACACCTTGACGGTCTGGCTGGCCGTGCTGATGTGGATCACCAACAGGATGTGAGCGTTGCTGACCTGACAGGAGGAACGAATGAACCGAGGACGAAAACAGTGAATTAATAAGACAACAGAGAAACACAAAGATTAAAGACAAGAGATTTCACTCTGCAAAAAGACAAAACAGCAAACAAACTGTCAGATTTGTTTGTGCCAAAGAGTTAGTTGATCTGAAAGGAAATGAAGTCACATGAAACATGTTGACAGATGTTTCACAGTAAACGATCAGTAAAACAAGATCAGTAACAGTCTGGGTGATGGGAAGGTGAGGTATCAAGTGTGTTTAAAACAGTGGTATGAGACTTTCCCACCAGATTATTGGCAACTTCCTCATGAGACCTGCATACTTCAGTGACATGTTTCAGAAACGTAGTGAACTAAATCTGCTGCGGTGGCTTTCAGACAGGCGCGCCAACCTTTAGGTGTGAAAAATTAAACCAATGCTGAAGGGCCTTAAACCTGCATTCTCTCTACTGACCAGCAGGGGGAGAATCCTCTGTCTGATTGTATAGAAGTCTATGAGAAAATGACCCTACTTCTCACTTGATTTACAAGGTAGCCCCGCCCTTGTGACTTGACAGGTCACTACCACGGCGTCAGTGTTTTCGTCACAAGTACTAACTGAGATGAGAAAGCAGATGTGAGGGTTTTTTTTTTCTTCAGTTGCCTCAATCCACAATTTCAAACAACGTTCAAAGCTGCAGGTCTTGGACAGCAAGCTAATTTTGAGAAAATCTGTTGATGAAAGCAATGACTACTGATGCATTTCACTGGAGACACTTCTTCTTAAAGGGCCAGTGTGTAGCATTTCGGGGGATCTATTGGCAGAAATGTAAGATAAAGTCAATAAGAATGTTTTCTTAACTAGATAATCACCTGGAAATAAGAATTGTTATTTCTACAGTAGCCCAGGGTGGTCAAACAGAACGGCTCTGCTCCTTTCGCGTTTTTGCGTCTGCCACACGGTAGAAATTTCAGTTAATCGCAATCTGCAACCTCACCGCTGGGTGGCGCCAAATCCTTCACACTGGCCCTTTAAATAGTAGTTCACATGTTCAAGCTTTGCATTACTTTCAGAAAATATTGCAAATGCATTCTATATAGGGCGTCACAGCGAAGAATATGTTTATGAGACGCTGAACTCAACCATGAACCTTCACACACCTTCACCTTGCTGAGCAGGTGCTCAGGCAGCGGCTTGCGGGTCACCCAGGGGTCCATGGAGTAGAGTTTAGCGTCGCGGTCGGACAGCTCGATGCGTCGCGGCGTCAGCAGCTTCCTGCGGGTGAACTCCAGCTCGTCGTCGTGCACGTTGCTCACATCGGTCACGTCGTAGCCGATCAGGTAGTTCAGGTAGCGCTGGTACTGCAGGGACTCGTCTGAGGGCTGCGGACGGGGGACCAGCTGGATCCGGCCCACGTCCTTCTTCAGGGCTTTAAAAAAAAACAAAAAAACAGACGAGTTTGACATCATCGCCACGGAATAACTCAGGTTTGCGACTGTACAGTCAGTCGGAGAATGGTACCTCTCCAGTAGCGGATGCAGTCCAGCGTCTGGAACACCTGGTGCTTATCGTAGATCTCACACACGTTGCCTTTCTTCTGGTAGAGCAGGATGCAGTGGTCGGGGGAAAACCGCTGGTAGAAGTCAGGGCAGAGGTTTAAAGTCACCGCCTTCAGCCACACCTGAGCTTTCACCTGCGGGAAACGGAATATGGCACAGAATATTTCTTATTCTAACATCGGCAATGGAACAATCCACAGTGTTGACGATGAATCAGGAGTTCAGGTGACCTGCTCCACCGTCCAGTTTCCGGCGACCTCCAGCGGCAGAGTGTCGGGGCCGCTTCGGCCGTGTGCCGCAGTGGGCAGGAAGAACTCCACAGTGATCTGATCCATGGAGGTGCAGGAGGACGACGAGATGGCTTTCTTTCTTCTCCTCCTCCGGGTCTCTTCTCGCAGGACTTTGGGCTCTTCGTCGCTCACCTGGGTCTGCTGCCCGTCCATCGCCTAGCTGGTGGGGGACAGACAGAAGACTCTCATGCCGCGATCCTCTATTCATCTCATCTTGCTTTAGTTAGTAGCAATAGGGCCAGTAATGCTAATTCACCACCGGATATATTAATAAGTATTGATAAGAAAGATGGATATCTGTAATACCAGCCACGTATCTATCAGGGAAGACTGAGCTATGACCTCTGACCTTTGGGGCGCTATTCATTTCATGTTTGAAAGTCTTGTTTAGATGATGAGAAAACACTCCTGCTTCTTCCAAATGAACAATAAATAAATAAATGAATAAACTGCAGGAAGGTGAGGATTATTGTCTCTATTAATACATTATTTTTTACAATCGTTTTGTTTATAAAATGTCAGGAAACTATTTTTTTAAATGTCTAAAACCCAAAGACATTCAGTTGGATATCATATAAAACAAAGACCAGCAGCCACTCCTCACACTTTGAGATGCTGCAGAGTGATTGGTTCTTTTCCTTAGACATGACTCAGCACAATGAATGGATTTAAAAATAGTTGACCGCTCATTTAATGTCCACCTCCTTGTTGTTTAACCGAGTAGATCACAGACTTTAACACTGAGACACAGAGAGCAACAGGTGATGTACGGAGATATGGACCGGGATGTGAGCCAAGTAAACAAGTGAAATGTCACTATTTTCTCCATCTTGACTTTGAAATCTATGATGCGCTTATTACCTTTTCATGTTCCTTCAGAGAAAAGGGCGGTGATGGTATGTTTGGTAGTGGATTATATGTTTGACTATGCAAGAATGAATTAATAACTATCAATAAAAACTAAAAAGGTTATTGACTGATACTGTCCCAAAGCAAAGCACTGCTTCTTATTTCTTATTGTCTTATTTCTTTTCTTAACAAACTCTCAGTTGACAGACATATGTGAAGTCACAGGATGAAATGTAGTTTCCCTTCTGCTTCTTTTAACACCAGCAGAGGAAGCTTTAAAAAGCAGGAAGCAAACCTCGACACAGCATGGATGTAACTGTACAGTGACAGACGGTCATAAACGGTATTGTGTGTCCGCAATTTAAAAGGACAGGCGCAACGCTGCAGGAGAGTAAATGAAACGTTTGAAAGCACTCACAGCGGACCTGGTTCGACTTTGGGGAATGTAACGGTACAGCTACCATAATAATCGGAAGCAGAGGCTTACATTTTTTAAAAACAAAAACACGTTTTTATGACTCACCAACGGACGGTGAAGCAGACGGCAACGAAACCCGGCGCTTTGCGGTGAAGATTCGGCATTTATGCTCCACGAAGAGACCTATAACCAGAGTAAAATATGTTTAGAAGTTGAGAAAGTTCGGCAAAGTCCGCTGCGCGTCTACTCAGGAAAGTTGTCAAGCTTATAGGCTGACAGAAACGAGACTTCCGGCTTTTCTCTTCAAAATAATAACACAAACAATAATTCTTATGGAGGGATGAAATGCAGACTATTGTTTTGTAATATATATTATCTTTCGTAAGTTAGTCTTGAAAAGTATTTAAAAGAATGAATGGAACTGTTCAAAGTTATAGAAGAAATTAATTTGTTCTCGTTTTAAATCGAAAGGCAGTTGGGCCAGTGTAAAAGTCAGTACTGAAATCAGTACTGAAATGACATATTCATTCAATATGTCATTTGCGCAAGTCCATAGTGTTGTATACGTGAACATTTGTATTGTACAACCAGGTAACATCAAAACTGATCGAAACTAAATTACTATATTATATTAAGAGTTTTCATGTCCGTCATGATTTCATGAAGACTTGAGAGTGTTCACTGCCCTCCTGTGGCCACACTGTGGAACTTCATCAATACAATAAACAATAAAATAATAATAATATGATATAATATAATATAATATACAATAACTATTGTAATGACTGATATTATTATTATGATCATTAGCAATAATAATAATACAATAAGGGTAGCTGTAATAATAATACATATTAAATAAACTAAATAAATACATAATGTATAATTGTATACTCTGGCCACTAGAAAACAATTAACATGATTACTATATATAATGATCTGTAATTTCTGTTTATACATTTCAGATTTACTTTGAGGATTATTAATTAAAATTAATTTTGATGTTAGTATTAATCGATTTATTTCGAAAGGATTGACCAGAAGTGTTGCTATGCAATCGTGTCCAGCTTGACATGGGCCGCTTTGATGCAGTTCCTAACAGTGACCACTGGAGGGCAGTGAACACTCGCCATTCTACATCATGTCAAGTGTCTTCTCCACCAGCGTCAAGGCAGACACGTTGCGCGTGATCTGCGGAGCAGAAAACTGCTAACACAACTCTAAACTCCAACTGGGACCATCTCTATTACACCCAGCATTATTCAGTGCCCTGTTTATATTTTTAACTGTTACTAATGCTATGTATTTCGTGAGTACTTGTTATAACAAAGTATGTTTTACCTGAGTAAGGTTACTACTTCCCCTCTGTCTAAATGAGAGGACGCCTATGATTATGGCTTCACCCTTCACCCTGCCTGCAGCAGTGAAACATGTATAATTACACTAAAAGTTAGGTATGAAAATTGCGCTGAAGTCTATTTGTCTGCTACATTTGTTTTTTTCCTCACGTTTTTCATGTTTGCAGCCCGTCTCTTCGTCACACATCAGCACCTCATAGCTTGTAGACTGAAATGTGAATATTGGACTTTTTTCTTGTTTATTAAAAAAAACAAAACTATTTTATATGTACATATTTTTTGTAATAAATAAACACACACAGTAGACATAAAGGACATAGTCCGACTACATAAAATAACAAAAAGAAAGAGGGGATTCATAACTAGAACTGAGCCAGAACTATGGCTATTAGATTATTTTTACTTTGTGAGACATGAATATAATAATTTCTACATAACTTGTTGTCTCAAAGTCTAATTCCAGCGTTTGAAATACGGCCATTCTCATGATAAGAGATCAGATGTATTTCATTCGTCACTTTCGGTTTGGCCATCTTTCTTTACTTTAACCCAGCCGATGTTTATTGTTGTGGCGATAACAGTGCAGAGAACGAGCTGTACTGAACCGACCAATGAGGATGAGGGAAGCAGCGGATTGACATCCGGTCTGGCCAATAAGACCGCTGGGGACAGAGTGTTTATACCCGCCCCCTCACCCGTACAAGGCGACTGTTTGGGTGAGTGAAGTTAACTTCATTGAAATCATTTGTGGGTTTTAAAGCGTTGAATTTGAGAAGTAACGACGCCATTTGAATGATTTCCCCCAAAACTTGGCACGCGAGCAGTAACGTGGAACTGACAGCGTGTATTTTTCTCCTTTAATACAGTTTCTCTGCGCTCTCTGTGGAGCTTCATTGTTGACGGCAGTTTTGTTCTAACTGCATTTTGCGCAACAGAATGGCTCGACCATTTAAACGTATTGAAACGTATTTCTTTTATTCGCACCCTGAATATCACTGGGCTCGTTTATGTGGCTGGTGAAACACGGACGCTGAAGCTTTTTTTAATCGTTTTCGTCGACGTAACTTCAAATTTTTCAACGGCACTTTTTGTTTCGCGACAACAAGAAAACGGAGCTTATTTTGAAGTTTATCGTCGCGTGAGAACGTGGACAGCACGTATTTAGTAACGGTCCATAATATTCAGTGTGTCTTAGCTGCTTTATTTTCGTGTTGTTTTGTTACTTATTGAGAACTACATAGTTCAAACGTATTATCGCTTCCCTTCTCCCCATTGAATGAATGGGCTTTTAGGTGCGCATGCGTGAAGGATCTCAAAGTTTATAAACAAGAGGGGAGTCACATGACGAGATTGTTGTGAAATAGATATGACCAGAACACGCTCTTATCGTGTTTACGTGTTCGAAACGGAATATGTCAACGTGTTATGGACAATACTATCCAACACACAGACACCTGGTCAACACACTGGAGCTTTGAGAACGTGTGTCGGTGTATTATTAGGTAACCAGCTCTGTGTTACCTCACGTCACCTCATGTCTCCTTACGTCACCCCAACCCCAGCCTATACGTTACGGCTCATTGGAGGATCAAGTTCCTGTGCACGCGTGCGTTAGTGGGTGCTCATGGGAGTCCAGTAATGCAGATGCCAGTAATGTTTAGCTTTACCTGTACGATTATATTTTCAACCAACAATATATTTACTATATTTAATTTGATAATTTACATAACATAAATAAAATAAAAAATATCACGCTAATGAAGTGACCGTTTCAGTTCCCGCGGACGCGATGGTCTGGGAGGTGGTGACCCCCGCAGTGCTGTCCGGTGACCCCAAACGTCAGAGCGCGCGGCCTTCTGAGCCTGAGGGCGAACCCGCAGGTAACCCCGGAGCGGCGCGCTGCGCAGGTAACGCGCATGTCTGCGCTGTGTAATTAATGACGCAGCGCTCTTAGAGGGGTAACGCCCCTGATTTAGTATTTCACTTCATGAAGCTGTGGGACTCTCAAGAGACCTCCTGTCTGTAACACAGGCATGCCATTAATATGTGGAGTGACTCTGATGACATCATTAGAAGTTTTTTATTTTTTACAAAACTTTGGAAAGTTTCCCCAGAGCAACAGAAGACAGTATAGAGCTCAGTAAACAGACTTTATAACTTCCAACCAGCCAGGCTAAGCTCTGAAATTGCAAAAGCTGTTGTTTGCCATCCTTGTTATTATATTCTAATAATTATAAATAGGTGATGACTTACTAATTATATGATTAATATATGAAGAAGAAGAATAGACTAATATTATCTTGGGAATAGATTCTGAAAACACACTATTTTAATTGATTGGCCTTGAGTTTTCATGAGGTGATTTTTTTTAAATGTTATCCATCTACTGTGTTTCACCTTTTTTTTTTTTTTTGCTCAGTTAATCCAAATGTCTATACAATATGTAATAGATGGTAGTAATAGTTTTTCTGAAGGACATGTTCATCTATGATCAAATGTATTTATTTATTTATTAATCAAATTGATAAATGCTGTGCAATTTAAACATGGTACATCCTGTAACTGAAGTGTGCTCCCTACGCTGTTTGTCTGGTGTTACCTTCAGAGGTGATGATGGATGCAGATGGCGACCAGTCACATGACCTGCTGCACTGTGAGGAACGCCTCTCGTCCTCACCCGGCTTCCCCACCAGCGACAGTTACATGGAATACGGTACATAAGACACGAGCATGGGGAATATATATATTTTTTCTTTTTTCAATCAAACACTTCATTTGTTTCCTCCTCCTAGACGACCTCCCAGACCTGCAGGAGGTCCGGGAGGAGGCGGAGCTAGCGGCGCCACCTGTCTACCAGGTGGACGCGAGCCTGTCGCACCAGGAGCGGCGTGCGTGCGCTCGGCCTCCAGACACACACTGGCTGACACAGCTGGCTCATATCGCCACCGGACCTCAGAGCCCTCTGCTGCGAGAGCCTCCCGGCAGCAGGTAGCTAACGCAACCACGTCCTGAAACACGAACGCTGCCGAGCACAAGCGGGAATACATCAGAGAACGCATGGTTGTAATGCGCTGCAGTGAGCCTCCATTCCACTCATGAGCCTTGTGTCATTTTCAGCTCCTCTCCGGCCTTGCACTCCAGCACCAGCAGCAATCTACATTCCTACGCCCGGCCTCCCTCCCGTCTCCCCCCGTCGCACCCCAGAGGTCACGGCAGGGAACGCCGGCGCACCAGGGTAGAGCTCATGTTCACCCGCTCCATCATTAATCACTGTCACCGACACAATTTCTGAAGAAGAAATTAAAAACAAAACAAAAAAAATGCATTTTTTATTATATTTTAGATAGTGAAACTGACTTGACTCATCGGGGCAACAATGTTGTGGTGTTTGCATAAACTCTTTGGCCGCTGTTAGATTCCTGAGTCGTGCCTGACAGACGCTCCATGTTTCCACAGAAGAGCAGTGAATGTGGTTCTGCTGTGTCGACCAGATCCTCTCTGTCTGATAATGAAGACATGGGCTGGAGCTTCTCCTGTCCGCCCACGGCCTGGCACTGCTTTCTCAAAGGTAGGCACACACACACACACACACACACACACACACACACACACACACACACACACACACACACACACACACTCTTGCTGCTATCTCACTTTTTCTTCCGCTCTGCTCGAAAGACATAAATGTGAGATTGTATTGGAGCCTATGGTTCATATCTCAGAGCGGCTTTTCATCTGTCACCAGGCACCAATCTGCGTTTCCACCGTGGCTCCAACGTGGAGTGGCAGGACGTGGAGGACCTGGACTCGGCCGAGGAGAACTCTGGGGACGAGGAGCGGTCCGGGTCTCTGAAGGTACATCGTGTGAGACGCTGCACTTTACTTTCACTTTGTCAGTGTAGAGTCAGTGTTAATGTGCTGTATTTTTAACAGCAGCAGCAGCAGGTACAATGTAAAACATGCAGCATTTCACCTCTACCGATGGCTCCATACAGTAGTCTATTGGCTATTGGCTATAAAACACACACAGAGCCTGGTTGTATCGGGGTAGCTGTACTTCTTCATCGTCTCGTTTTGTAATTGTACGCAATGAGTCAAAGTGCTGCTCGCTCTTTTGCAGAGTTATGGCTCCGAGGGTCTGCAGCTGGTGGAGCATTCAGAGACTGTGCTGTCTGGTCAGGCTGTCCTTCAGCTGACCTTTGACCCCGGCGCATTCGGGCACGCCGCCATGACCGCCCGGTGCCACCTCGACCACCCCTTCTACGTCAAAAAGAAAGGTAGGAGCGACGGCAAGAGACAAACACTGCGGCCGTTTTATTAAGCAACGCTCTTTACACACTGCGCCTTGCTTTCCGTCAGGCTGGTCGTCATTTCACCCGAGCTTGACCGTGGTGCGTTATGGGATACCGTGCTATGAGATGGAGGTGGGAGACGTGTGCCTCCCCCCGGGACACAGAGACGCCAAACACACCGACGACTCGCTGGTCTTCGACACATTCAGGAGGTAAAAGTGTTCTAAGCCCAAAGCAGCAAAAGGCCCATCAGCAGGTGAGCATGTCCAAGTGAAACACCTGTTTTTACACGCGTGTCTTCCCCAGTTATGATTTCACTCCTCGGGACTCCTCTGCGGTTTACGTGCTGAGCAGCATGGCGAGGCGGCGGCGTGCATCGAAGTCCAGCGGGGGAGCCGTTTCCCCAGAGAGAGACCCGTCACAAGGTACTGCGCCTCGTGCCTCCTGTTCACAGATACTGAGAACAGGCAGCGTTCCCTTTGCGAAAATACAAAAATGCACCGTACTAAAACACTCATGTGAGAAAGAGGATGCATTTCATAAAAGAGAAAAAAAAGCAAACTTGTGGATCTGCTTTAAACCTGCAGACGGTTCCGGTCACGCCCGCTCTCCTCATCAAAAGCCAACCAAAAGCCAGCAAGCTGCCGCCGCGGCAGGAAGCAGCAGCAACAACGCCACGCCCACTAAGTGCAAGCGGCCAATGAACGCCTTCATGCTGTTCGCCAAGAAGTTCAGGGTGGAGTACACACAGATGTACCCGGGGAAGGACAACAGGTCGGTGCGCCCTTTGTGTGTGTGTGTGTGTGTGTGTGTGTGTGCGTGTGTGTGTGTGCGTGTGTGTGTGTGTGTGCGCGCGTGTGTGTGTGTGTGTGTGTGTGTGTGTGCACTGCGGAGCTGCTGTGCCAATGTTTAGTCGTAAGGTTGTGTGTGTGTGTGTGTGTGTGTGCAGAGCGATCAGCGTCCTCCTCGGGGAGCGGTGGAAGAAAATGCGAAGTGAGGACCGACGGACGTTCACCGTGCAGGCCAAAGTCCTCGCAGACGAACAGAAAAGACTCAACCCAGACTGCTGGAAACGCAAACGAACCAACTCTGTAAGGACTCACACACACGTCACACACTCACACTCTGCTTAATCCAGTGTTTTATACTGCTGTCTTAATTTCTCCTCTGTGTCCCAACAGGGCTGTCAGGGAAATTAAGGCTGCAGACAGGAAGACAGAACAGTCTGTAGGAAAACACACACACACACACACACACACACACACACAGAGAAGTAACAAGGAAAAGAGATACTTTTTGTAGACATTTTGAGGCGCTCTCAACGAACGCCTCTCCCTTCCTCTTGCTTTTAAAAGGTGCTGAATGTACAAAATATTATTTCAAAGTGGCATCGCTTATTATGCGTCTAAAGTAATTCTAAGAAGCTATGAAACATTTTAATGCTACAGCGCACTGCGGCGTCTCCCTCCTGAGACGACATTTTTCCCCAAACGCAATAACAAAGCAGCTCAACCGGAGTTCATCTCCACCACTTATTACCATATGTGTGAGTAAGCCAATAACGGAGAGAGATGCTCATCACATGCTTGAAACAGGTGGAAGTTGTGGCGCTGTAGCATTTTAGGTGATGTAGACGATGTAGCTATTTTCCCAAAATTATATACAAAGAAATATATTTAAGTATTTTCTTGCCTGTATTACTTGCATTTGCACTCAGTATATTGCACAAGACTACATATTATAACCTTGCTTTTGGTGTAATTTATCATGTCACGTTTAGTTATTAAACAAATTGTATGCCATAAATTCTCAAATAGTGGCCCAGGAGTTTTATTTAAGTCCAACTTAAAATAATAATCTCGAAGATTTTCCTTTAAATGCATATCTGTTAAGTCCCTATTTGTCACCGAATGAGGTGATGAAAGCTGTGGGCGGAGCTAAATCAATGGACCCGCTCTTCAACTCTCTTTTGTGGTGAAGCAGCATCCTGTTAGTCTTTCTCCAGGTGTCTCTCTGCTAGCCGAACAAATGAAAACACAGCTGCGATTACCGCTAACTGCCATAGGTGTCGCCAAAGAGACCGGAATGAAGATCTACGAGATTGCAACTTTAGGAGAGACTCTGGCCTTTTATATGTTAAGGTTAACTTCTAAAGTTTATAACAATTTTATCAACCATATTTTACAGTAAGAAGCTTCTCAGTTTTCCAAACATTAAAACAATGTGCAGCGGTTCAGGGAGGCAGAATTCTTTCACTCTGCAAAGGCTTTTATTTTGAAAAAGGAAAGGAGTGTTGAGTTTCAACAGTTTTCTTGAGACAGAATGAATGCAGTGCTGCATTTTCCATGACAGTCATTGTAATATATGTACTAGCAATAACTACTTTTTTTATTTTTGTTTTATGGCTTTCATGTGAGAATTTACGGTCGTTAATATGTATATGTCACAAAAGATATAAAATGGGTATGTTACAGTCATTACACCACAGGCAGCAGGACGAGGCCAAGATTTGATTCGTCAGCCATCACCTCCACACCGGCGACGTGTCCTCCGTTCTAACATCTCTATGTGCCATAACACAATGTCTCCTCATCAAAGTAACGGTGTATTCCTGTATAATCACAGAGACATTAATACAGCTGAGGCTTGATGGAGCTTCAAGACGGCTTCCACTGGAGATCATTTCATTCAGTGTTTGTCTGGTTCAAAGCAAGAAAAAAAACATGGTTTCTTTGGCCCCGCCCCTTTGAGTTTGTTTATCTTCTCCAATGAGTTTTGATGGCTTTAATAAATGTCAAAAATAGGAATAGATTATAAAACAACAGGGTAGTGTGCACACTGAGAGAATCCTAAACATTTTGTGACGAGACAGATGAGACGTGGGACAAAAAAGTTGTCGCGGCCATTAACTAGTAATTTTACATGATCAGAAATCAGTAAGAATATATCTTTTTATTCAGGTTATTGTGTTTCCATGCACCATGGAGTCCTAATAAATAGCACATTTGGCTCAGATGATGGAGGTCTAGAGGTTTTATTTATTTTTTTTATCTTCGTGCAGTTTGAGTTTGAAACAAAGACAGCTGTTGTAATAACAAATATAAAACAGCGTCTGCGATGTGATACTATCTTAAGTACTGATTGCATGGAAACAAAACTACTGCGAACATGAACATCATGCAGAAAGCTTGAGCCAGTGTGGGTACTCATAACCTCACTGCATAACGAGGTTTATTCTTAATGCACTATATACACTTTATCTCACGTGACTGCTACAGTATAATATGTGACAAACATTAATATCATTATATAGAAATGCATATATTTTTGGTTTTGACTTAATCCTTGTTAACCGTTCATGGTTGTGCATTGATTATTAGTTTGTCTTTACTATCGTGTCACGTACAGGTTGATCAGGGGAGACCATGCAACACACTGTATTATAATATGAATAAAAGCATGATCAACCTGTGTCTGTGTGTGTTTGAGACTTTAATAAAATGAAAAGATAAGTTTGGGTCTAAACAAGAACATTTTATTGATTTCTCCCTCCCGGAAAAAGAAACAAATTCAAAATCATAAACAGGGTTGGTGTTGCTATTTACATACTGCACCAGTGTATGGCTGGAGATAAAGGTATAGACATTAAGCTGCTACTGTGATCATAATGATACAAAGAGATAACATTCCATTAAAACTATAAACATCATCAATATTTCCAGGCTACAATTATCAAATAGAATCCACACAGTTATACTGTATAATGTGTAAATGACTAGAAAATCACTTTCTTTTATATAGTAAAATAGAAAATATATAGAGGTACAGTATAAACATACAGTAATTTGGCCTTTTTGATTCAGGGATATTTACACAGAAAGAGTTCGGACACATTACAGTCAGATCTGGTGTGAATCGCTATCTGGCACAGTTGCAGTAGCCTCCATGGTTTGTGCCATTTTGCATCCCCAGATGTGCTCCAAATATGGCGCAGGGCGGATGCAAAATAGGCGCGTATAGAGGCCGCAACATTGTTTGAAAGTGATTCAGAGGTCAATCGATCGTGTCCGACGCAATGGGCACATCTGGACTCGCTCAGAGTGGAAACAGTCGTAGTAGTGGCGCAGGGATGCAGAGCTCTCGCCGGCTCAATCTCATTTTCAGTCCAAAGTTTAACAGAATATCGTCAAGTTCAGCTGTTGGTCTTTCCACACTAAATGTTTGCAATAGTATGATAACTGTCTCTGACTGGTGTACTGGTTTTATGATAGCTGATTATAATGCTTGAGTATTCTGTTGCAATGAGTGATTAGAAAGGTTGTGATGTTTCCTTAACGTTAGGAAAACCAACCGTTGGAATTCACTGTAAACTACGTCAGTGTATTTGGGACATTGTAGGCCAGCTCCGTCATTTTAGTTTTCTTTTTTACCTACAATGGTCCAAACACACCGTAGTAGTTAACTACGGTGTGTTTGGACCATTAGTAGTTAACTACGGTGTGTTTGGCTGTAAAAAGCTGCAGCTTGTTACAGCCACCTGTCAGGCTTACAGGGACCGTCGTGTTCGATACTCAGCAGACAGACCTGGTGTGGAATACCATTTAAATCCCAGATTGCATCTTTTACAAAACATCCGACGTTTCGTCTCCTCTCTGACTTTGACATATGAAAGTAACAAGCGCAATAGAAAATAGAAAAAAAAAAAGAATTCACAGATTATTATTTTGGCATATTAGTCACACAGTTGTTGTATCAAAACAGGTTTAAAGTACAATAACATGAATTACAAAAGGCACGGGGGTACCAGAGACCATGGAGCCAGTGGCAACGAGACATGAACGGAGAAATTCAACAATTTAGTGTCACGAGTGGGGCCTTAACAGATTTTGGTTAATCAAAAATATTTCTCTCACTAAGGATACGTGGTAGTTTGAGCCCCAAAATCTGCTGGTTAATGTGCGGTGCATAAAATATGTAGGAAAACAAGAGGTTAGGAGAATGTCATTTCCTACATCATTTCCCTTTTTTTATTACCTTTAAGTCTTCTTGTTCTACTTTTATTTGTATCTAATTTGTATTTATTTCTATTTATGTTTTGCCTGTTTGCTAATTTCAATTTCTATTCGTATAAATTTGTGTCTTTTAGAAGACAAGAGAGCGATGAAAGAGACGACTAGTCAAAGAAATAAATGTTCAAGAAAGATGATAATAGACAGAAGTTATGAAAATGATCTGTAAGGTCTGTTATTAAAATGATAAAAGTGACTCCTTTTATCATTAAGAAAAATCATTTCCAATGAAATTTTGGTACCACTTCCTAATAATGAACTTCTCTTATAAAGGACTTTTGAATTGTCACGAATGGCTTTATTAACGGTTAATACATCATTTACTAATGCTTTATAGATCAGTTATTGGGTTGGGCTGGTTTTATCCTTTCTCCTTCTTAAAAGTGCTGTTTTAAATCTTCATCATTTATTAATAAATTGTCATTGGGTGTTCACTTTTTAATAAGCCATCAAGAGTGTAGTTACAATTGCACTAAATGGATTTTGGTCTCTATTGTCTCCAGGGAGAACTGTCTGACCAATCGAAAATAACTTTTGGCAGGTCTTTCTTTTTTTTTTAATCAAAATCATTTTTCAGAGTGTTTGTTGTGTAGTACTCATTCAGCCACATGAGGCTGAAGTGCACACCACTTCCCCATGTTCTCAATAGGACTGAAAGCCTTCATGTTTTCCCTAAAGGCAGATTAGCGCCGATTAAAACACATTGAGCGCCAAAAGAAAGTAGTGTAACATGACAGTAGTGTTACATCACTTTCTATCACACATTATATGTAGCTTGTGTTTAGAGTGCATGGCAACATGAATGCTTTTAGTCCTGTTTAGAACATGGAGTCGTGGTGCACTTCAACCTCTTGTGGCCAAAATGAGTGTTGCAACAACAATAAGAAAGATTTTAAAAAATTCACACGTTTTTTTTCACCCTGTTTTCACAGATACAAAAATATTATTTCAGCAAAACCTTTTTTCACCTGTTCTGAAGTCATACACACGGAGAGAAAACCATTTAGACTAAGACTTCTCAGGGCTTCTGTAGAGCTATAAAGCATTAGTAAAGTATTATCATCGTTTAACTAAAAATAACTCAGTGGACACAGCCGGGAACCACAGAGACGATCATCTCATGTCAGGTCAAACCTCAGTCACCAAAGCACTCAGTCCACGCTGGTGTGTCTGTGGGCTTGTATGATGCAATGACTGTGAATGTGACATGCTTGTGTGGTAAATGTGTGTGTGTGTGTGTCTACATGAGTGACTCCAGGCTCTCAGCGATGTTAGTCTGGCCCAGTGGTACAGACCCGTTGGTTTCTGGACTCTGCAGGGCTCTCTGGTCTTCCTGGCTGCTCACCAGACTCAGCACAGCTCGGTACAGGTACTGGTACTGCTCCTGTTGGGTGAGACGCAAATTCCAGACTGAACCATCTTTTGTTATTAAGAATTAAGAAGAAGAAAAAACAACTCTTACCAGCGTTGTTTTTTTCTAAATTCCTAGATATGTTATTGGATAGTGGCTGAAGTGAAGTTGATCACTTAATTGTCATTTTAAAGATCATGAAGTGGAGACAGAGAGAAATGAGAGCATTGAGAGTATTGTGTGCTTACTATATCATTAAAAACACCAGGCCTCATGAGGTTGGTCATCCGTGCCACCTGGTAGACGTCTACCACTCCTTCCTCCTCTAGCTGACTGGACAGGGCGGTGAGGGCACAGAACAGCCCTGATGTAGCACCTCCCAACCTACACACACATAGATTAACCCTTGCAAAGAAAGTGTCACATGAAGGCTGATCCTGTCTATGTAGTACTCACGGATCATATATGATTGTGGGTGTGTCCGAATGTCTGCTCTGCTCTTGGACTGTGCTGACCAGATCGAAACTGTTCCTGATGGGACTGTCTGGGTTGGGCCAGCAGGGGGCGCTGTACAGACGCACCTCCAGCACACTCTACACAGAGGTAGAGAAAAAAAAAGTATATATGCATATACAATATATATGAATGTAAAACACAGAATACTGTGTGTGTGTGTGTGTGTGTGTGTGTGTGCGTGTGTGTGTGTGTTACCTGTGGAGACTCCACTGTGAAGTACTGCACCAAGAGTCTCTCGTCATTGGACAAACACAGATGCTCCTCCCCCAAATATAACACAGTGAAACCCTCAAAGCTCATTGGCTGGTCTTTACTGGGCCAGTAAACACAAGACTCCCCGTCTTCACTCTGACATCAACAGAAAAACATGTCAGATTGTATGTGTGATATATACTCATTGTATAGGTACTGTATGTGTGTGTGTGTGTTATACCTGACAGTGTGTGTCTGGCAGACGGACGACAGTGTGTGTGCTGTGCTCCCAGACCATTCTCCAGAAATCTGCCACCGTGCTGCTGAGAGGAGTCTGGCTCACGATGAACTCCTTACTGTGGTGATGTCCCTGTGAAAACACCAGCAGCGTAAAACTACCAGCAAATGTTTCGTTGAAGGGCCCTTTAATAAAACGGTAACCAATAAACAGTTCCCAGTAGTCTTACCATGACGTAGGAGGCATTGATGTACCCCGTGGAGTTTGCCTCGGAAGCGGTCAGACACACTCTTGATCTTTCCACTACACAAAAACACAGAGACATCAGCCCATATTCACCACACTGGTGAGCCAACCAATCACAACAGGGGCCACGTGGTCGTGCACTTCAATCTACCTCTCACTTAAAGGTGCAGTGCGTAGAATCTGGCGATATGTAGCGGTGAGTTCTCTCTGTAAACTAGGTGGGCGACGTGATATCGGGAAAGCGCGATTGGCTTGGTTTGGTTTGACCGTTCTGGGCTACCGTGGAAATGTGGTGGCCGACTCCATGAAGAGGACCCGCTCATATATAGGTACAAAAGGAGGTATTTGGAGGTACCAAAAACACTATGATTCTTATTTTCAGGTGATTGTACCCGAAAGAAAACATACTTAATCACACACTGTTCCTGGCTGTGGATGAAACATTTAAAAACCTCTACATCTCTCCTTGTTGGTTTAGTAAACCAGCCCTGCTTACCAGGCATCAGAGCTCTGGCTCTGTTCCTCTCAGCGTTGCCGTCCCTCAGGGCTGTGCTGTAGTCTGCGTGCTTCGCCTGACGCTGACTGATCAACTGTAACACAACAAGACGAGTCGATTACATTTGCAACATTCAATGTGTACACCTGCACGATAGTAATATGGTCGAAAAAACCAAAGTGTTGGTTAAATGCCTAGAATGTAAAGGGCAAACAAGAGTGTAAAACAGAGGCCTATAAAACGTGGGGGAAACATGCTCTACCTTGAACTGTTTGTCCATGCGCGTCCTGCCCGACGCCCCAGGGGTCAGGAGGTCAGACACGTAAGTGTGGAGGAGGTCAGAGGTCACTGAGGTGCCACGGCTCAAGATGGCCTCCACCAGAGTGTCATGGATGAACACGTACTGCTCCTACAGGAGAGCGACAGAAGGAGAAACAAAGAGACAGCTAGGATCGGCTGGATGCACACTGAGAAATCCGATGAGTGTGTGTGTTTGTGTACAGTATCTTTGTGAGGACCAATTTGAGTTTTAGACCTTCAGAAAGTGATGTCTGGTCCTCACTTTGGGACAGACCTCCAAAGCACTGTTTGAGGGTTTAGACTTGGTTTTAAGGTTCAGGTTAGAATCAGGTGTGTCCTCACAAAGATAGAAGTACAAGGTCCTTGTGCCAGTTCGCTTACCTCCGTCTGAACCAGGAAGTTCCTCTGCGTCCGGACATGTTTCAGGAAACCGAGAACGTTGACCGTACCCTGATCTTGGATCTGCTGCAGCATGCTGTCTATCACTATGTAGGTTCCTGTCCTTCCTACGCCGGCACTGTGACACACATCACATGTCAAACACACAGATTCCTTGCATTGGCATATCTGAAAATAGTAATCGATACACACCTGCAGTGTACCAGAACGGGTCCCATCTCCTGTGTCCTCGCCCGGGAGGATGCTCTGATGAAGGACAGCACAGGCAGAGTGTATTCTGGGACGCCCATGTCCGGCCACTGGGTGTAGTGGTAATGGAGGACAGTGTGTTCAACTCTCCTCTGAGACGCCTGGAGGACCAGAAAGACCAGAAGACTTGTTTGGGACTGAACGCCAAATTCACTTTGGAATTTTACTGCAGTCAGCGTTATTTGTTGGTGTATGAGTTGGAAAGAGAGAGAGGGATAGTGTGTGTGTGTGTGTGTGCGTGAAATGTACCTTATTTGAGGCATCTCTGACGGCGAACGCCCGCAGTGTGTAGTAAGCAAGGGTTTTACTGCTTTTCAGGGTCACCTGGTACGGGCCGTATTCTTCCTGGTTCACCTCCGGCCAGTACTGGTCACACTTTGTCTGTGGACAAGATGACCGAATCAGGCTTAGGTCCCTAAAAGGCTCGGTTTCTCCTGCTGAGATCCCCTCATCTCCATGGAGCGTTTTATCATCTTTCAGCCTGTTGTTTTGGTTTTACAGCCAGCAGCTTCACTGTTTTGATAGAGCCTCACCGCTCTCACCAGAGGTGTTTTCAGCTGCAGCTGTTTTGAGCTAAAAAGCTGTAATAAACCCACTGTGCACAACCTGCTCAGCACCAAACACCAGACGGACAAAGCCAGCTACTAGCTGGTGGACATAGTGGAGCATTTTGCAGCTGAAGAGCCAGATATTCCTACCCGTCCTTTCTCCTTGAGGTTGGTGATCATGATAATGACTCCAACATTCTGCTGCCAGATCATCCTCCAGAAGTCCTCCTTGCTCGCTCTGAGGGGCCCCTGAGCCGCGATGTAGGCCCTCGTTCGCTCATAACCCTGCAGAGGAAAGCCGCCACGTTTGTCAAGGAAACAATGGATGGGATGTAAAGTCAGTCTGCCTATTGACACGCCAGGCTCCCAAAAACCCACTTACGTCTACGAAGTTAGCGTTGATGTAGTCTCCGCATTTCCCATCTCTGTCCAAACTGTTGGAGAGTTTGACTCTACTGTGGTCATCTGGGAGAGGAAAGGGTTAATGAGCTTCATCACTGCTGGCTTTTACGATCATAAATGTTGAACAGTGATCATGGTGAACAGTTGACGTACAGGCCAGTATGTTTATGTATCTGTTCTTGCTTTTGTTGTTGGGGTGATTGGAGCTGTCTGTAGTGATGCCCATGTCCACTGTGCACGCCTGCACCTCCTGAAAATCAATAAAAACATAAATAAGACTTCTATCGGTCAATAGCGGTCTGTAGTATTAGAGTACAATAGTCAGGAGTCTACAGTGAAGACAAAACAAACAGAGAAATGAGCTCTTGTGAATACAGTTGTAACTTGGATTAAGAAGATTCATGTAGGGGAGGAAATACAAGAATTTTGTGTGAGAAAGAATAGCACATATAAGGGTTGCATTAGTCGCATTACGCTTATAGACTTCATAAAAGGGCATGATTCATGATCTATACAGGCGGCAACATTCTGAACGTAAAGCCAATGTGGAAGTTCCTTAAACCTGCATTCTCTCTACTGGCCAACAGGGGGCGACTCCCCGGTTGCAAAAAAAGTCTGTTTGTATAGAAGTCTATGAGAAAAGGACTCTACTTCTTACTTGATTTATTACCTCAGTAAACATTACAAACATGAGTTTATGGTCTAAATCTCTAGTTTCAAGTCTACTTCAATACAGCATGATGTTCATTTCGTAAATGATGGTCCATTTAGAGTCAAATAGACTGCTTTAGGTTGGGGCTACCTGGTGATTGACAGGTCGCTACGACGGCGTTGGATTGTTATATACAGTCTAAGGATCTATGCAGGAGACTGATGCTACTGTATTAAAGCCTCAGATTCAATAAAAATGTGGGGCAAAAAGCAGCTGCACGGATGGTTGGGTTGTCATTTCTATTTCATTATTATGAATGATTCTAAATATGGATTAACGAAATATGTATGAAGCCACTTATACTGTGAGTGTCCTTGGCTCCATCTCAGTTGAAAAGATGCTTCTAATATGGACCGAAACGTGGAGCAGAGAGCAAGAGCTCTGCCTCACAATCCTCATATTTGTACACATTTAAATGCAAAAGCCAATATTTAACTGGCAAACATCAACTCAATATCACATGTGAAATACAGAAGTTGCGGTCTACAAGCTGACTGGTTTATCAACAGGGAGAATTCATTTGAGACAAAGCTCAAATTGTCCGCCTCTACAACTGGTTAGGGGTGATACTGCAGGTGTCTTACCTCATAGGATTCTTTGACAATCTAATGGAGGGTGGTGAGGATGCAGAAAGCACGACGATGGTGGTGGAGGTGGTGAAAGGAGAGTGGGAAGGGGGGGGGCAGACAGACAGACAGACAGACAGACAGACAGGGAGTCAGTGCAGGTCCAGGAATATGGGGTTCAGAGACACACAGAGAGGCGGGGCTAAGTGGGAAACGCACCGATATTCCCAGCTGACCTGTGGAATTTTTGTTAGCCATTGGCCTGTTATTCTACACTGTAAAGATAAGTAATGAATAAAAGGCTTGTGTGTGATTACAAGTTCTTTGCTCGGCCCAAAAGCTCCTTCATTGTAGCCACTTTGTTGTAATAAGTGGGGTTATTTACTGCAGCTATGGAAATGAATCCCATCTGTGTGCGTTACTCAGGAGGTTCATGCTAGGAAACAGGTGACGGATGTCATGCAGATGTGGTTATTGTTGAAACTCATCCACAAGCTGTTCTAAGATACTTAACACAACATTAAAATAAGTCAATACTGCACATGAGACATTTCTAAAACCTTGTTTCACATTCAATATAAACTTGAAAGACAGGAGGTTTTATCGATCTATCTTTGGAGACTGGGATGAGAACCAAGTAGCACTGATGGGGTTAGTACCAAACACCCTTCCTGCATTCTGTTGCACGACATGTCATGGAAGTTCCACATTATCGCTGTGCTAAATGATATCCCTGAAGAACATGACGTTAATAGAGATATGGAGGAGCATTAAGGAGCTATGACAAACAATGAGCTGTCCAATTATACACATGAACCAAAACTAAGAGATCCCTTTATTCTATGCTGGTTCAACTTTTGCAAGCCGAATCTCAGGTAGTATATCTATCTAACTCTCTTTTTTTTTTCAAAGTATCTTGAGGCAGTTAATTTCCCCCTTGTGGGGGAAGGGTTAGTCTCCTCAGACATTTGTTGAACTCATATACTCTTAATTAGTAACACTCCACACACCTCGAACTCCTTGGAGAAGGTGTTGGCGGCGTGCAGCTCCATGACATGCTTCACGAACTGCTTCACCGTCAGTGGCTCGTGACCATCTGCAACGAAAACAGTTTAACAGTTCCATGTCGCGGCGACAATGTAATAAAGTCCTGTGAGAGTGTGTGTGTGTGTGTGAGTGTGTGTACGTACCGGTGGCCAGAAACAGGGGCGTCGATGGGGCCGATATGACTTTTGGTGACGCACTGTCATCTGGGTAGAAATTAGCCGTCTGGACACAGTTTCTGTGACACAAACGTATCAGAATATAAGTAAACAGAGGACATTGTTTAGGCAGATATTGACCCTGTGTGTGTGTGTGTGTGTGTGTGTACCTCCAGTAGACGAGTATGCCCACCAGTACTAGCAGACAGAGGAGGGTGAGAGTGGAGACGACAGCCAGAGGGATGACCGTCCTCTTCTCGCGGTCCACGCCTCCGACCAGCCCCACCCGAGACTCGTGGCTGCTGTTGCTGCCCTCTGAGAGAGAGGAGAGGCAATGAGAGAGGGAGGGTGGGGTGTGTCAGGGACAGACAGAGACGGAGGGGCAGAGAGAGAGAGAGAGAGAGAGAGGAAGAAAGAGAGAGAGAGAAAGAAAGAGGGGTAGGGTGTGGGAGTATCACAAAGCACAGACGACAGAGGGAAAGGAGACACGGGGATCACGTCAACGGTCTCTACAATTTTTGTTGAAAGTAACTTTATATATCAGGAATTCCAAGACACTATTATGTGTTTAAATACACATAAATGAAATGAAATAGACAGATGTATGAGAGAAAAAACTAAACTGTCCTATCTCCTTGTGTGACAGAGAGGCAGATCTGAGGAAACGCAGGGCTTTGAGTAACGTTTATCTTCCATTTCCTCCTCCGGGGCCTCGTCGCCATCTGTCAGTCTGAGCAGAGAGACGAGACGCCCTGATGGCGGACTTCTCATAGCATCAAACAACACCGCGTCCACACTTGAGAGCTGCTGCAAACTCTCTCCAATTACGGCTGCGTCCCTATCCTCTTTACCGCCTCCTCCGCTGTGTTCCTCGCTCTCCAGACCTCCGTCTATCATACCATATCCGTCTCCCTCTTTGTCGTCCTCCAGCGTAGAGTTATCCCCAACAACGTGATTGTCAAGACTTCTGCTTTGACCGTCCTCATCGTGTCCATCACCATTTTCTTCACCGCCGTCAAACTGCGGGAACTCTGCCGTAGGATCCTGACTGACAGACAGCCGGAGACCCTCTGGTCCTCCAGATACGACTTCTTTATTGCCGTCTTCCCTTCCGTCCCCACTTTCCTTTTCACCTACAGCTTTGATACCTTCTTTATTGTCGCTGACTTTCTTTAATTGTCCCTCTCCACCTTCCCCTCCATCTCCGCCACCTTCTCCGACACCACTGGTGTCCTCAGGCCGGCTTAAAACTCGAATATTGGACTCAATTTCATCCCCACTGCCGGCCTCCGTGTATAATGCCTTCTCCACTGCAGTTTCAGCTCCACTTTCTCCCCCTTTCTCTGCCAACGTGTCACAGCCTGCTGTACCATTGAGCTGTCTGGCGCTCTCATCTGTTCCACCCTCCACATCGCTCCCTCTCTGATCCCCAAAGTGATTGACTCCTTCTGTCTTTTCTTCTCCCTCACCGCTTAGCTCACTTTCGTTCTCCAACACCTCTTTCTCTGCCTCTGTTTCACACTTGCTACTTAATTTGCTTCCTACCCCGTTGGTCTCGCCATCTGTTCCACTATCCATCTTAATTCCTGTTGATCTACTCTTTTTCACAGTGTCTCCCACCTTGGAGCTGAGAGCCGAATTCGAAAGAGTGGAAAGGTCGGTCTTAACTGAGGTGACTCTATCGAACTCCTATCGAAGGCCTGATCCTGATCCACTTCCCTCTGCTGGCCAGTCTGTGCCAGACTCCTCTGAATTATAAGGAAAGGACAAAGCCAAGCCTGTCGAATCAAAGAAAGATGCATCTTCTTTAAGCCTATTTGTCCCAGCTTCCTCTTCGTTGTCGGGACGCCCCAAGATGTTCACACCATCTCGAATCGGACCGTCAGTTTGATTTTGAGTATTCAGGGTGTTTCCTTCCATGGTGTTTGTTTTTGATAAGTCATAATCAGGCAGCAGAGACAGGGAGCGCTCAGTCATTAAGCCATCCTGAAACCCCAAAGTGGTCGAGATCTGAGGGTGCTCTAAATTCATTTGTAGACGGACAACGGAGTGCTCTTTGGAGGTCTTGTCGTGATGAAAGATAAAGCCACTGCCGTTATCTTCAGGGAGGGCGGGAGAGGGACGCAAACTGCCGATGTATTCATTAAAAGGGCTGAGCGATTGAGGAGTGGATGAATATCCTTCAGCAGAGCCTCTTTCTGGGACAAAGGCTGCAGGATTTGCAGGGTTGATGATCCCTCCACTAGAAGTTTGAGGACAGTTTGTTAATCCAGAGGAGCGGCCAGCGGTTGAGTCCTTGAACGTGGGTGTCTTTGCTGGAAGAAAAGCCAAAGTGAAAACACTTTTCCAGGCCACCAACATTATGTTTGTCATTCCAGGAAAGATGGAAGAAAAGGTAAGAATTGAACTTCCCCGAAATTCAGACAGGAGCACTTTTCATTCATCACAGCGGACACACAATGCAAGAAGACAGGCAAGAGTTGGAAACGATGTTCTGAGTTTCAGAATGAAGAGATGTCACAAATCAACTTGGTGAAAAGAGGAAGTGAGCTCTGCATTCTGTGAGAAGATTGGAAGAACAGAAAAAAACCACCAGAGTGCGCCGTTGAGCGCAGACCCAAAAGAGGAGTCCCAAAAGTAAACGCTAATCACTGAGCCTGAATGGACTCAAAGTATGACCTCATGTGGAGTCCTAACATGCAGCAAGATTCTGCAAGAGTCGAGCATATTTCATTTCTGAACCAGAGGAGAGAGTAGCTGATTATCATTTTAATCATCATCAATGCCAGTGTAATCTTTTCCATAATCATTAGCACCACCACCACCAGCAGCATTACCCACATCATGCACCGTGCCATCCAGATCACAGAGCACAGCAGTGATTAGCCTAGAGGACAAAAGTCAATCCTCCACCGCAATTAAGACCAGCTGTCGATCCACCACAAAATAATAATAATAATAATAATAATATTGCTGCTGTTGAGTAAAATCCCTCAGATTATAAATTCATAGCCACTTCTAATAGGAAGTAAACACTATATAGTACATATGATATCTTACCGTTAAACATGGGCTGGGTTGTGTGCATCAGCACCCTGACTAGAGAGGAGGTGGTGAATGACTTGTAGACCGACTCGGCCAGCGTGTTGCTGGAGGTCGCCGCCCTCGCCGTGATCCAGAGCGGCGAGGGGGTGGAGGGAACCGAGCTGCCGGTTTCTGGTGGAGGTTTGTTCACGGGGGCGTCGCCGTCCTCGGTGGATGGCGGGGAGACTCTGTCCACTCCATCACCTGTGGGACCAGATCGCACATCATGACGAGGTGACGCGACGCAGGTTGAGCCGCAACACGACACGTAAGTGTGTATGTCTCTGCATTCATATGCAGATATCCGTTTATAGAGATACATTTTGTCTCTCAACCCCAATTCCGGTCTCACGTCTCAAGTAGCAATTTGTTCTGTTCTTTCTTTTCCCTTACTTAAAAATACTGCTTTTTGATTATTATATGATGCTTTTGTTATGACATGTTCTTTGTCTTTTTCATTATTAATGTATGATGAAATGGGTTTGTATCTTGGAGAACAAAGTACATGCGTGCATTAAACGAGTCAACAAATGACTGGCGCATGTAAGAGGACGTCTTGGCCCAGCTGGCTACACCTGCACCTCAGAAATACTAGATGTTGCCCCCAGAGGCTAAATGATTGTCAGACCGACAGCTGATGGGTTCAGAGATTGAAACAGCAGAAGCAATACAAATTACTTTTTTGAAACGTTTAAAAAAAATGTAATTATTCAAAGAAAAAAATCAACACACAATCATAACATGTCGGCCTTGATTTCAGCAGATTGGGTGAGAAGGATCCAGTGGAAGAAACATCTTCCTATTCCAATATTTATGAGCTTAAATTCCTCCCTGGCACTGATCAAAGTACCAACCCGAGATATGAGTGCCGAAAAAACGAAAATAACATCTGACCTGGCAACACAGCAGCGGGAGACCCTGTTTCTGCAGAGGCGGTGGTTTCGAGTGGAGAGCTGTTGACTGTGTCTTCATAGAAGACATCTGTGACTTGGATGTCCTCCACAGGAGGGGTATAGAGGACCGACTGAGGAGAAGGGAGGCCGCTGTCTCCGGCTTTGTCTGCTGGACCGTGATCCCCAGACTGCGAGTACACAAAACATTGGGTTTCTTGGACGAGGGTTAATCTAAAACATTGTATATTGTATATTGTGTGTGTGTTGCGTGGCAGCCAGCTGTTTGTTTCAACGTCATCAGGTTTAAGGATGAATGAAATGAACACTTTGAGGAGAAGAGGCAATGCGTGTAGTGAGTTACCTGATGTGGCAACACCGACAGCGACGCCTCTTCTGTGATTTGTCGGCGAATCGTCGGCAGCGTTGTTGTCCGGACAACTGGAAACAGGAAGCCCGGCTGCTCGGTTACCTCGGTCACCCATATCGCGCCGTTGCCGTCAAACCCCTCTTTGGTGTAGGGCCCGTGCGTCGGATCGCTGTCCTCGTAAATCCAGTTCTTATCTACATCGTCGGGTTTGGACCCGCTCTGGCCCGCTTTCTTTTTCCCATTCTGGTTGAGTCGGGTTTTCTGCAGGACAACAGACTCAGACGGTGTTTTTGGGGTGCTGACCTGGACCGGGAGGTTCTGGTGGTGCGTAGGTTGGTTCTGGTAAACTCTGGTCTGCTCCACTGGGATCTCCTCCACAGGGCTGTGGTCCTCTGGAGTCAAATCCACCTGATTCCGGTTCGCTGGGATCTCCGATTTGGGTTTGGATGAGAGCTAACACAAGGGGGAGGAAAGCAGTGTGGAGCTGTGACACAGGATGTTTGGTATATGTGTTGACGAGGTACAGGCCTTAACTGAAGCAGTAAGAAATACGTCTTTTTATGCCACTGCTTCCTGCTTAAATTAATGTATAAACATCCTACAAAAATCACAACGGTAGTGCAGTTACTTCCTCAAAATTCAAATTAACTGATAATAAGGAATAAAGAAATCTCCTTAATGCAGTGTGGAAGAGAACAAAAAACAAGGTGGAATTTCTGTCTTTTTTTCTCCTTCTTTTTTATCTCTCCTATACACCTTTTGTACTGCTCTCCAAACACTCAACGACACGCCTTGGCTGACATAATTACAATCATTTGCATAATAATTTGGTTCGCTGATATGACTGAATGCAGTCAACTTCAGCGCTGCAAAGTAATTCAGCAAAATGAACATTCAACGTGGTATCAGGTGAAACTACAGATACTACAGACCTCTCTGTTGCCTTCCAGCTCTTTTGTGACAGCGTCAGGATCTGAATCCCTTTCTAGAGAGAGAGGGAAGAAATACAGACTAACTCACAAGTGTAGGAACTTAACAGGTTTGTGTGTGCGTGTGTGTGCACGTTTGTACCAGGGTCTTCTAACGGCATGTCCACTATAATCTGGTCACTCCATCGTCCTCTGAGTCCATTGGTGCAAATGGCGACCACCTGAACCACGTAGCTGCTGTTGGCCAGCAGGCTGGGGATGATGGCACCCTGTAAAGTCACACAGGTGAGTTGTCTGACTGTGGGTTCAAGACAGGGTTGGTAATCTCGTTCAAAAACATTTTAGATATTGTTACTTGACGACTTTCTTGGTAGATTTAGCGACTTTTGGAGTTAGCGCTGCAAGCTACTTTCATTAGAAAAGAGTTGACAACACTGGGCTGGGTTTTTCAGTATCAATCATCTTTTCATTTTCAGCGTATACACTAGTTTCTCAAGATCACCAACCCTAGCTTTGAACACTATTAATTATCTATAAAAAAGGATATTGGTGCATTAATGACCCGGGAATTGTTAATGGATGGGTTTGGCCAGTTTATGCTACTACCACTTAAAGAGACAATACTCAACGTTTCAACCAGTGCTCTAGCTCTAGCTCTCTATATCTATTTGTCTGCTTGCTTTCTGATTCGTTTTCATGCTCTCTCAGTCGCAGCAGGTGGTGTTAAAACTGTTACAACTGCCTCCTGGGGGATGCAGTTGGCTTATCATAGGTGTTAGTTTCTTGGTCATTGAGTGATTTGTAATGCATGTGTGTTTATTTATTTACAGTAAATCATCTTAATAAGAGTAATAATTCAATCTACCAATACCAAAAGCCACCTTGTGTTCTCACTATTGACGGTAATCAGGCCATACAAACATTAAAAGGCTTGTGCACATACACACACTGACACAGAGCTACATCTAGATATGCACATACACAGATGTTGCTGGTCACGTTAAGGGATGCTCAGTGACCCGCTGAGAGGCCAAGATTGATCATCCCTATCAATCAATCGATTGATCACTTTGATCAACCCAGATCCCAGCAGCAGTCGCAATGTGAGAGCGACAGATAGCGAGTGGTAGTGACATTACCCACTGATTTGTGGACTACCGTTTTAAAGCCTCAAGTTCGCCGAACGGAAGTTCAGACGCCGTATACAGCTCTGGTATAGACCTGTCAGTCACAGTAAGCCCGCCCTAAAACATTCTCCGCTTTATGGTTGGCTCCACCAAACGGCTTTACTCGGTAGAACCGGAGGTTGCCATCTGATCGATACATGGACGCCAAATAATAAAAGAATATCTATCTTTTATTATATTAACTATTAATATTGCAAATACAAATTAAACCTTTTGGTCAATCTACAAGATGGTGCTGACTTTTTTTCTGGTATGGTCATGGGTAGAGTCAGCAGGATTGAACTATGTAGACTGTAATACAAACAGTCCAGCTTGTCAGGTGCATGATGCAACATTTATGACGGGTTTTGATGACAGTGTCGGTCTGTCTGCTTGACTTACGAACCCATTTTGCTACAATAAAAACGAATGAAGGGAGATTAACCGAGGGAAAACTTCATCTTATTTGAACGGAGATAAATTGCAAGATATGTTATCGAAATACTCAACATATCACAAAATGTTTATACGATCGTATCGTGGTTTAAGTATAGGTGATAATATCGCATCTTGGGGTGAGTGTGAATATAAAGAGATCTTTCGCACCACGTCCTGGTCCCCGTCTGTCCTGTACTCCTGCTTGCTCTGGTCTTGGCCCTGCAGCCTCTGGTAGGTGACGGTGTACCAGTCGATGGTTGTGTCGTAAACTGCGCGGGGGCGCTCCCACGTCACCACGATGGTCGTGTCGTTCTGGGCATCAGCCTGAACGTTCTCCGGCTCCGAGCTGCAGGCTACAGATGGCGACAAGAGGAGAAGAGAGCAAGCAGGGTGTAAATGTTGAAGATTGATTAGTGCGGATGTGAGGCAGGAAACTCAATAAAATCATTTTTAAAAACCTGAAAGAAAATGATGAAAAAGAACAGCACGGAAATGGTGCGGCTTCCCACATTAAGTTCAGTTTTGCTGAAGGTAACGTGGTGTTAATCGACCGTAGGGAAAATGAAAGAAAATAGGAATCTATTAAAAAAAAGCCAAGCTCAGGAGGTGAGTGTGGCAATGAGTGGGAGGTGTGTGTGTGTGTGTGTGTGTGTGTGTGTGTGTGTGTGCCAGGCTGCATGAATTTGTTACAGGCTAAAAAAAAAAGGCCCTTCTCTGAATTTCTGAATACTTTATTTCAATTTCAAAAAGAGCTGCAAAATAAATTGCCTGCGCTGGGAGGAGCAGGGGCACAGAACTACAAAGTTGAGCTCCCTGGCAACCCAAAAGACCCGCTTTACTTGAGGGTGGACTTTATGAAGATGGAGAGTGTCGTGAGTTTTATCTTTTGATGATCAGGAGTGGGCTGACCTTGGAGGACAGTTTTGGCTGCTGCAGAGACAGCAGAAGAATATGTTGCAGCTCTGGAAATAAATAAGATTAATAATGTAATGTTTATATTGATCTCCAAGGAAGGAAGGGTACATTTTCTCCCCCATGCTGCCCAAAATTTAGTATGAATTCAATTAGTGAAAAGATTTAGAGCTTTGGAAAAGGTGAGATTCTGGGTTGAACTCTGCAGGGAAGAATATTTTATGGTACAAAATCACAACATAACATCTGCCAGTCCAAACTCCTTTTTGGGCCTGTTTTAACACTAAAGCTCACTGTCAAGTGGACCATTGGTCCAAAGTTAAAGAGGTTCGCTCGAGGCGTTCCCTGAGATATCGTCTTCACGAGAATGGACCGGACGGACAATCCTGAAAACACAACTGTTCAGCCGACGCGGAGGCAGAAAAAAAGCAGCGCAGCATTCGAATGTCGATTTAGCATCACAATGTCAAGGTTAGGAATGAAGCTTCGATCTGTTTGGCGCGGCCCTACAAGCAGCAAACTGTTTTTGTGTGGGTGTCTGGGTGACATACTGGGTGTGAGCACGTCCTCCACTCCGGTGTACGAGGCGAACACCTGACCCATGAACTGCTGCTGCTGCTCCTGCTCCCTGAAGTTGTTCTGCAGGTAATCCGTCAGTATCGCGTACCCGGCCTGCTCCATGGTCATTACCTCGCAAAACACCTCCAACTGGGTACAGAGAGAGAGAGAGAGACAGACAGACAAACAAAGAAATTAAGACGTGTCTGTTGCATCTTTCCCCATTTCTGTGCAATTGCCAAAATAAACCGATGTGTGTGTGTATGTGTGTGTGAGTGAGTGTGTGAGTTTAAGAGATTGTGTTGGTGCCAGGCAGAGGCAGAGAGGCAACGCTGCTCTATTTTCGGGTTAGCTACGATGTGCACGTGTCATGCCTTGCCATCCCCGTTTCAATCATGCAAACACAGACAAACGCAAGCATACACACACACACACACACACACAAATATGCACATAGAATACACACACACACACACATACACACACACTTACAACCACTTGCATGACCCCATTCACTCTCCGTTATTCGGCTACATAATTGATGGTTATTACACAGATGACTTCATTCAAAGTCGCCGGTTCTTAAACGTGTCCTCTCTGGAATGGAGCTGCAGTAACGTTAGAGCGTCAGCTTGTGTCGTCGCTGAATGTCAGGCCGTCGTTACCAAATCATATAACCACTACAAAACCCCTGTGATGAAGTTCACTTTCTGGCTAAGTCTGTCACACTGCATCACTCCAATGTGAGGTTTTTGTTTTTATCTTGTGCACGGATGTCAAAGACAGCTGATCTGAAACCAGCCACAACAAACTACAGGCAGCAATGACGTCGATCATGACGAAAGATGTTTTAAGGCGAGACGCCCCAGCCAAAACAGAGGTTCTATCTATTTTACCACTTTGTAGGTTTGTGTCTGTAGAATTCTCCAAAATTCACCAAAAGCTAGCGCTAGATAATGCCTCATTTGCATATTTAAACATAGCATTTCAGAAAACTTGTAATACAAAGCATAATTGTCTTGTAATGTAAGTAATTAACTGTGTAGATTCCATGGTGATATTAAAACGTTACCCTCTTCACATGTAGTGTCTTCAAAATGTCATTTTACAAAACACATCTTTAATTAAAGGCTATTTTCTCGAAATGAGTTTTTTTCTCATATTAAGCCAGAAATCTCCACTTCAGCAGCTCTTACATACACCAAACATTCCACTTTCATTCCTTTCTATACTCTGAAGGTTTTTACTGAGGTTTGCTCATATATCATTCAAAGCCGGATTTATACAACATGTATTTTCTGATTTATGGAGTGATACAAAGAGATATCTGAACCTGGCTTTATCCAAACATATTTCATAAGATAATTCCTAATTTGCGTACATAATATTTCAGAAAACTTGTCATTCAAAAAATAATTGTCTGAATGGAACTAATCAACTAAGGGAAGTTTCATGGTGACCTACTAGATATATAACCAAAACAACAAAAATAACAATTTTGTTTTTCATTATTTCGAATATTAAGAATTGAAAATTTGCATCAGAACGCTTGAAGGCTTTCATCAGACACAATTCTAAATCAATTTTGCTGTAAGAGCCGCTGTCATTGGGTTTTTATGTCACGGGTTTTTATACATGACTGTCGGCTGTGCTGGAATTTCATGCTAATGCTTAAAAGACTGAATGGGAACCAGTGTTACTCAAATTAATCCTTCTTTTTTTGTTGAAGAACTGTCTGTTCAAAAATAAATGAGCATTGGGTAGTGGCAGTGGACTCCAGTGTGTGTGTGTGTGTGTGTGTGCGCGCGTGTGTGTGTGTGTGTGTGTGTGTGTGTGTGTGTGTGTGTGTGTGTGTGTGTGTGTGTGTGTGTGTTGATTAAAATCTCCTGACCTGTGTTTCTGATATGGCCACAGTGTGTTTGAAGACGATCCATTCCACCGTCTCAGAGCAGGGAGGTGCGGTTAGTGAGCCATTGTAGATGTAATATTTATCTGTGATATTAGGCAGCAAGGACCGCAAGGTGAAAGCTTCCATCGACCCGCTCTTATCTGGTAAAAAAAAAAGAAAGAAAAAAAGTCCCATGAATAAGAAATGTATTGCCCCAAGCTGTAAGACCCCACGGGAGCAAGCAGTTTGGTCAGTCTACGACATGCATTGTGATAATATTGAAAGCCAATCAGCAACCTCTTATCATTTAGGAGAGAAAAGAGAAAATGGTGTGAGAATGGTTGTAACATTTCTGCATGATCATTCTCTCTCTTGCATCTCTCCATTTTTCTGCTGCTGCTTTGATTAAATTCTCCTGAACACAATCAGTATTTTGTCTGATAAACAGAAAACCAAGTACTTCCTTAAATTTGTTTCTTTTATTATAAGGCACCACCTGCACCCAGCTACTTTCTTTGCAGACGATACATGCTCGTATGTAGAGGTGACCTACCAAACCTGCTGACGGTGTTGACGGCTTCTATAACAGGACTGAAGTTCTGGTTGTCCTCCAAGCTGATCTGTGGGAAAGAACATCGTGGAATTCATGGACAAATGTACACCTTTAATCTCATCACTTTATTTAGTTTGGGTTATTTGAGGAGGAGCAGACTGAAAGAACCTCAAAGAGCACAGCCAAGGCAGCGATCCTCCCTCCTTCCCTAACGGCAGCGTCCAGACTCTGGAAGTCATCTGGATCGTAACAGAAGATCTGCATCTGAACGAGAGCAAGAAACGAGTAGTTTAGTTTCATCGGCAGACAAAACCAACGATCAATAAATGTGCCGGTGATAAGACAAACAGACGGTGTGTATCTCCGCACCTCCAGAGGGTATTTCATCCCATTCAGGCTGTGTTCAGACCCGTCGGACGTCGCATTGCAGCGCCCCCAGTGAAAGGTGATTGTACCAACGCGGAACCTGGAGCTCAGCCCTCCTCCACTCACAAAGAACTCCCCTTCCACACGGAGGGCCACTGAAACATACACATAATAATGGGAAATGCAAATTAGTGTTTAACTGAAGACTGTCGGAGTGAAACTTCTCCTACAACAGGCTTAAGGGCCATCCCCATTAAGTGTAATAAATATAAACATATCGTTATATATATATATAACGATATATATATACATACCACTGCTTACAGAATGTTATCGTTCATCGGTGTGGATGCTGACATCGTTATAATTATTATCGTTGGTGCGGATGGCCCTTTAAGACTTTCAGTTTCCAATACTCAGCTGTGGTGGTTGTCGCTTGGCCACCGGGCTCCAAAACTTTGTACAAATTCAGAACTTCTGGCACTGAGCAACTGGCAAGATGGTGGCAAGAAGTAACTCGAAACAGTTCTTCAGTGATGCAACAGATGCAAAAATCCATTTTTTCCCACGGTGACATGGACACAACAGTGGGTGCTGTAACTTGGATATGTTTATCTGTTCATGCGTGGAATGTGGATATGGTCTGTCAGCAGTCTATTCTGGACAGGGTATTTGTCATCTGATAATTAACATAAACAACCCTTAAATCTGCATTAACACATTTTTTTGTATCTGTAAACAAAACATTTACATATAATTACCATATAAAGGCAGCTATAATGATATCACTATATCTATATTATCACTTTATCATTGCCTTGTAAAGGTGAAATTGTTAGCCCAGCAGCTACAGAGTAACATTAGCATTCATTAAGAGCCGTATTTCTGGCGACCTGACAGATACGAGTCTGTTTTGGTCTCCACCAAGTATTGGCTCTTCAGCAGATGTTCCACTATGTCATCCAACTAGTTGCTAACTTGTCTGTCTGTGGTTTAACGCTGGACAGGGACCGTATTTTGGGTTTTTAGAGCTTCTTTGAATGACCAAAAACAAAGATGAGACTGGTCAGAGTGAAGCGAAACGGTAAAGTTGCAGGCCACAAAACCAAAACAATGCTGAAAGACGCTAAAACGCTGCATAGAGATAAGGGGAACTACAGCGTCCGCTGATAATAATGTAAACCGGGAGACGATCCTTCTTATATCAAAGCAAACAATAACATTTCATAAGTCCACTTTTGCATCTTTACATTTGTCTCTTGGAGCCAAATCTGAACTGTAGCTCTTATGTTTTGCTTCAAAATGTGTTGGTGAGACTGTGCAAACCGTGTATTTCCCGCTTAATATCAGCAGCTATCCAATATCTGTTTTAATACGCAATTTCCTCTCCGACTTCACAGAGAAAGAGATTCATTTAGGGACCATTAATGTATAGACACACACACACACACTCACAGCTCAGGCTGTATTGGAAAGATGGTGATGATAGCTCAGACAGCTTTCATTTGTTTATCAGGCCAGACATCACTCCTCTCACTGTCTCTTCTCAATGTCCTCATTTCTCTCCCCTGCTCCGTCTCTCTCTCGCTATTCTTTCTTTTTCTTCTTGCTCTTCTTTTGTCAGCTTCATCTGTGCCTCTTGACACGATCTGTCTACCGCTGTCCCTCTGGCTGCCTCTCACTGAATTACTTAGTCCCCCACCCCTCCTTCCCTTTCATTGTCTGACTCTTTCTCCTTTTAATCCTCACTGCTCCTTTTCTCTCATTAACCTCTGGGTTTTTCTGCTTCTGGAAAGTTAAGCTTCTTTCCACATCTAGGGGATTAACATGTTGTGCTTTACAGAGCCGGACTAATGTCACAATCATTTCCATAGATTGAATCTACTACATGCATTATCTTCCTCCTCTGGTTGCTGCTTTATTATGCACTTGTCTGGGACTGAAAGGAAAAAGAAAAAAAATCCACATGTCGCTCATCTTTTTTAACACAAGTGAAAAAAAGCTTGTGGTCTGATTTCCCGCGGGGTGCCATTGCAAACACGCCCTCCACAGCTAGAACTGGAGATGTAAGAAAGTCATGCTTAGGGACAAATAAAAAAGTGCAGAATAAGGAAGACAAGGGGAATGGAAGAACATCAACATACCGGTCTTGCCGTTGTTGTGGATGGTGCTGGACTCTGCCGTCGGTTTGTCCCAGCCCTCTAGCTGTAGGTCCTGGTACTGCAGCCTGACCTGGGTGAACGTCTCGTCGATGTCCACGGGAGACTGCCTGGCGCTGTTACAGGACGGGTACTTCTTACCCCAGATGCGCTGGTTCAGGGCACCTGTACATAAGAGAGAGAGAGAGAGAGAGAGAGAGGGAGAGTGAGAGAGAGAGAGTGGCAGATAGATGAAGAGACAAACACGTTCGAGGACTGCTGATCTGAAAATGTCAAACTCCTGATAGCTTGTTACGAAATCTTTTTCATGTGCTGTCAACTGGAAACTTTGGAAGCACGGCTGCGTTTGAACAGCGACTTCTTGCTTTGTCTCTGGATTTCCCTGCAAATGTATCATTCAGAGAGAGAGAGAGAGAGAGAGAGAGAGAGAGAGAGAGAGAGAGAGAGAGAGAGAGAGAGAGAGAGAGAGTCTTCCAATTACCAAATAGTCTCTAAATGACTAAGATACAGTCATGATTTATGGATGTTGATGTGGTTCTCATAGGGCCTTTAAGATACATGTGGAGACGAGTATTGCTGTTTACCAGCAGTGGAGCGACTGTTTAATAAGGGCAGGTGGTCAAACGTGACCGGCCGGCCTCTGGTCACACTTCAGCCCAGCACTCTGTATGCGAGTGTGCATTGTTCATGCATGAGTGCATGTCTCGTATTCTGTGTTTTGCTTGTGAATCATTGCTTTTGGGAGGGGGAGGGCGCGGCGTGAATTTTGCTTAAACGTATTGGGCATTTGTGTGATTTAACAAGGCTTTGCTTTCCGCATGAATAATGGAAAACAATGTGAACGGCGCCAGGATGAGCGAGATTTGCTCGACAAACACGCAACACAAAATACTTAATCATAATGGAGAAAAAGGAGACGTGATGTTCCTCTCATTCTGTGCTCAGAACAGATTTATTTTGCACTAATGCTCCGCGAAATATCACCAGCTCTGCCCCAAACGTGTTGTGCATTGCTTATTCATGAGCGCACGTCTGGTGTTTAAATATAAGGACATACAGTGTGTGTGTGTGTGTGTGTGTGTGTGTGTGTGTGAATTCATTCATGGCTGCATGTCACAGATCAACTCACGTGATCTGTGCATACATGTTTTTTGAATACATGCGTGCAGTACCTTTACATGTATTGACATGCAGTGTGTGTGTGCATGTGTGTGTGTAAAAGATGAATTCACATGTGTAAGTTACCTGTGTGCACTCTGGACTGCAGCATATATGTGTGTGCATGCATGAACAACTCCACGTCTCTGCATGAGTGAATGTGTTCATTTACTGCGCACGCATTCATCCGCTCTTCACGTTACCTCCTGGTATATTCAGGTTAGTCACAGCAAGTAAACCTGACTTACCTGCATGTGCTAATATCTCAGAGTTTAAATCATATGAGAGAGCATTGGAAAACTGATAAAGGCCACAAAAAAGATGACCAAATATTGACTGTCATCACATGTAGAAATCACAATTTTCATAAGTCACAATATACTGTAGCTATTTAAACAAAACACAGTTTCCTCATATGATATTTCGCAAAAAGTTACTCCTCATCGTTTTTGCTTTTTTTCCTGTAAGTCCAGAAACACGTGCCAATTTCAGCTCGTTACATGCATATGGTCTTTTCAAAATAAAATGTCATCTTCACATTAAACAACTCAATTTGGTTAAGGCAACAAAACTACTTGGTTTGTTTTAGGAAAAGATCATCGTTTGGATTAAAATAACTTCAGAAGTGCCGTTACTGAAGTACGTAAGCAACGTGACGAATTAATAAACGTTGACATCTTGTTTCACACGGGGATAAACAGCGGTCTCCCGGCTAAAGGTTTAGTGTTTATTGACTTACTGGGTAATGGAAAAGTGTCATTGGACGCTTCATATCCAGTGCTTTGTCACTAGTATGTGTGTGTGTGTGTGTGTGTGTGTGTGTGTGCTTTACAGTATACAGTAAAGACAATGGGTCTAATGAGGTCAGAGCAGATGTTTAACTGTAACTGCTCACACATGACTTAACGAGGTATTAGCTTCACATTCCTTGTTGTGTGTGTTGTGAGAGCTTTGTTGCATTGCTGCCTAGTTTGAACCTGTAGAGATAGACTGAGGATTATGGTGGTAAATTCAGTGGTTCAGCAACATCCAGCTGCATTGTATTTACAGGAGCCGTTAACAGTCAGATATGCAATGCGTACGAGTTGTTTGAATTCCTCCTGTAAGACCTAGCTGGAGTGACGTTCAGAGGGACGTGCTGTTTGACCGTCTGTGTGATGTGAAAAGGAATACGGCACAAACAGCTTGTTTAAAATCCTCTTGATTTCTCATGCAGATTACCATTTAATTTGTATATTTATTTCATGAATATAAAATTACGACTAAATTCGCTATTCACTGAATTGTATTGACTGAATGAAAATACAGTAAAGCTGTTGCTTTCACTGTCCGCATCCGTTTTCTGTCTCTAGCAGCCGTGACTGTTTCTCGTTGTCTGACTCGGGGTCTCCTGGTATTCTGTCACACAGAGTCTCAGTGTGCACCTGCAGTGTCAGCCACTGAGACCTCCAATACCACATCGACCGCTTACTCGACAATTTATGAAAATACGCTGATTGAAGGTGATTACAGGGAAATTATGATTAAATGAGTAAAAGGTCATACAGGTATTAAATAAAAAAATGTTGACCAAAATTTGCATTTTGCAAGTGCTACTGGTGCTACTGTGTGTGTGTGTGTGTGTGTGGTGGGTAAATGACACAGTGACAACCCTGTGTCAATGACCACATCTGGCTCCTGCAGCTGCGTCCCCTCAGCATCACAACACATACACACAAACGCACACACAGTTACATAACGCTGCCATGGCAACAAGTTGCTGACTGTGGTTGGAGCGAGGAATACCAAAAAAATTAAAAAATCCAACTGGAGCGAGGCTTTCCTGTCTTCATTTAAATCAATAAACACACACATGCATGCACACCCTCTCGCATTCAGTCAAGGGGTAACGTTTATTGATTAAATATGGAAATTATATTTCATATCTTCCACTTGCTTTTTCACAGTATTCCCAGAGTGAACTATGCCGACGCTACCAGTGTACCTATTGTTGTCAAATCCACAGGGGAGACTTTTAAAGCAGAGTCTGCAATTTGATTATATTACATTTTTCCCCTTACTTTTTGCCCTGATACCTCTCTCGCTCTCTCTTTCTCTCTCTCTCTCTCTCTCTCTCTCTCTCTCTCTCTCACACACATTTTCAAGTTCTACAGGAAGAATAGAAAGACATTGTCTCAATCATTTTGCAAAAATTCACCCATATTCTCATGGTCAGCAGTCTGGGATTTAATCCATGCTCATCTGTAAAGTTATCAAGATAAAAACCCAATTTCACATCACAATTTGTTTAAAAATGTTCATTTAATTAATTTTGATCGAAAGCTGCAATGCCCCAAAAGACAGACAGACAAATAAAAAAAGGGCAATGATGTCTGTGAACTTCCTGAAGAAACTTTGTGCGCTGCAGCGGCTCAAAGAGCAGTCAGCTGTGAAAGCGGTCAAGACAGAAACCAAGGACAAGGAGGGAAGAGAGGAGACGCAGCATCAGAGGACACAGAGGTGAGAGTGCAAAGAGGAGCAGAGAGGAGGCGATGAAGAAAAGACAGGAGACACAAGAGGAGGAGAAAGAAAAAGAAAGGGATGACAGAAAAAGATAGATGTAGAACACGAGAGGGGGAGGACAGGAAGGAGACACATGGAGGAGAGTAAAAGTGTGTGTGTGTGTGTGTGTGTGTGTGTGTATACACGCTGATGTACTGTGTGATTCATGGAAATATACAAAGAAGTGAACAGGGACATACACAAACATGTGCATATACTGTCCGTCTCTCTGTTTCTGCGTACATCAATGACACGCACACACACTCACAGAGAGAGAGAGATGATTTTACCCACTGTGAAAAAGGTTCTACACTGCTGAGCGAGCTAACTGTTCAGAAAACATGCAGGGTTATGGACAAGTCTCACCTACATTAAACTTGAAGCCTGAACAGGGACTTGAACCCTGGACCCTCAGATTAAGAGTCTGATGCTCTGCCGACTGAGCCATCCAGGCTTCAAACCCAGTATTTTTTCTTACGAAAGTGTGTTCGAGAGAAAACCACAACAACTTTGTCCATTACCATCACATTCTGGATTAGAGGAGGGTTGGCCAAAAGTGGCATGTAGCCTTGGAAAACCGCAGATGTTAAAGGGGAATTTGAAAGTGCTAAGGACTAACCAAATTCACAACTCACTCATTGCCACA